GTATTAGTAAGCACACATATTTAGATGTTTAGACCTTTTTTCAGGTATATATTATATATATGTATATATGTGCGTGAGTGTTTATGTGTGATAGCTTGGTGGCGTATGAGTGCTGAGATAGCTGTATAAAACAGGGTATTTTTTTACCTAGATACATACATACATATGTGTACATATGTTTATAACCATTCAAATGTTGGCTTTCATCGAATAGTTTGAGCAAATGTGTAAATCGCATGCCTATATTATTTACTTAGTTGTGAATATTAGGTTTAGTTTACTCAAAGTTGTTGTTAAAAACAATAGTAGAATCTGATTTCCCGTCAGATACATCGATTTTACCGGTTTCTCAACCAGAGCCGATCTAGGTTTGTATCCGTTCAGGGGCTGTTAGGTCGAAAGCGTTCTTCGAAACTATTTGATAAATTTCTTGCGCCAACAACAATTTTACTCCCGATATCACCACACCATTCTTTTGCTTATGCAGTCCAACTGCTGTACTCCTTTGGTTCATTGTTCAAGCAAGTAATGAAAGTATCTTTTTTGAGTAAATTGAAGTAACTTTTGCTTTTAATTTTCATTCTTTTTAAACCTTGAGCATCCTTTACTACTCTCTCAACTTTATATAAACTCACTTTAATTTACTAATAGTCAGCTTTGAGTTTGGTACAACTTTAACTTTACTTCAACAGGGAGCATCATTCTGAACACATAATAAATAAAAAAATTGGTCCAAAAATTTCAAAAGAAATTCATTGGTCTATAAATTTCACAAAAAATCCAGTGGTCCATAAATGTGTCTGTTCCTTGGCAGATGGATCGTTATATATCTAGTCAAATGAGACGAAGTTTGTCTCCATAGTCTTAAGAACATTTTACAAATTGTGACCCAAATTCAGTTTTTTTGGTAAACAGAGTCTTTCTGCGTTGTCCTGGTGGTTACATTTCCATATCGTAAATTATTGCCTGTTATCTCCTGCAGAATAATTGCAGAAGAAGTTCCTGCGCGACAACGACTGAATTGTTTATAAAAAGCATAAACCTGTCTACAGTAGGCTTATGAATCCGCGGACCACCCACTTCGTAAGAAATATAGCTAATATGAACATATACTTATGCAATATGAGTTTGTAAGATTTTCGAGTTTATTATTTTAACTTCTTTCCGCTCCATCGCATTGTCGAAATTTTCGTAATTATTTCTGGTAACCCATCATTTAAATTTTGGTGAAACGTTGCTTTATTTCGCTATAAACAAACAAACAAGCAGTGCGTATACATATTTTTACGTATGAACTTCCCATTTCTTTTTATACCCTGAACAGGGTATATTAAGTTTGCCACGAAGCTTGTAGCACCCAGAAGGAAACGTCGGTGACCCTATAAAATATATACATAAATAATCAGTATGATGAGCTGAGTTGATTTAGCCATTTTTGTCTGTCTGTACGTCTGTCGGTCTGTATATATACGAAATTTGCACAGGTCTGTTTCTCCCTAAGAAGCTGCTCATTTGTCGGGACGGCCGATATCGGACCACTATAGCATATAGCTGCCATACAAAGTGAACAATCGAGTACATAGTGCTTGTGTGCAAAACTCTTTCATTTGACGTAATATCTTCACAATTTTTAGCAGGGATCAATATCTAAGGCAATAATACAATCTCCGAAGAAATTGCTCAGATCAGCTCACTATAGCATATAGATAGCTGGCATATAAACTGAACAATCGGAATCAAGGGCTTGTAAGGAACCTTTTGTATTCGTGGAGGTTATTATAGCTGCAGTGCAACCGAAGTAAACGTTTTTTTCTTGTTTTTTTTTATGAACTTTAAGCGCTAAATGCATACAGAATATTAAGTACCTTCGCATAAGGAGTTGTAGTCATTAAAATTATTTTATTGGAAAGCATTTCAAAACAACGATGCTTTGCTGACGAACGCAATAAATAATGTTTAATATTTAATATCTACAAATATGTGCGAATATGTATGAGCTCGCATATAATAGGTAGCCCTAAAAATGACTAGTTCCATTTTAATCTTTAATATGAGTTTTATATCAGTCATAAAGATTGGCTAGACGTTCTGTAGAGATAAGTTTAAAGTCTACTTTTTATAGTAGAAAACGATAGTTGTGATCTGAAAAGTAGGCAGCAACAAAAATGCTTTCATATGCTGTGTCCCATTAGAGTGAAAGTGAAAATGTAAACGACAATATGTGAATATTCCTAAAAGTACTTCACACTTACCACCTCATTAGTAATACATATATACATGTAGGTATACACAAACTTAAATATTATAGTGATAATCCAATTTACGCAGTATTCGGCATTAACATACCGCTAAACATACGAATATATGGTATGTATGTATATGAATTTCGCTCTTCACGTTTTGTGTGCGGTGGCGTATGAGCTATTAATGGAATTGATGGGTCGTAAAGTTTTCATACACGAAATAATTGCATCAACTGCTGGAAGGAATGCATGAATATGATAGATTTACGCTATGTATTATCTGCGTGTGTCTCAATGTATGTGTCAGTAAAAATTAAATAGATATGTAGTAGAAGCGCGCTTGGCGATCTAACCGTCAAATTTTGTAATGCAATTTATTAAAGATATGTACATTTATATAGGTACGTGGAGGTGTACTTTATAATTATAATTTAAGATGTTGGTTCTAAGCTTAAAATCAATTTATTCTTTAAATATGACTTGAATAGTTCATAAATATATTTGTTACAATATGGTCTAATGGCCATTTGTTCTTGATGAAGGACCGTCACCCTACTAGAATTCTTGAAACTTTTGTTCGATGCTCGGTTGAGCTTCTACTTCCATTTGTGTTGTGCACACTAATGACGATTTGGAATATCTGCAAAACTCATATAAGAAAACCGTTTTCATGAGCGTCAGAACTCAGTGAATCAGGCCCTGCGTAGTGAGTTTGCGCTGCTCTATCAATTACATCACGAAAGCTGCGATGAATTTAAAATTAAACAGACAATTTTTCATTGGATATCATTAAGATATCGCTTTAAGGGCTCAGTCCATCGTACTCGGTTCTAGGCCGCTTTCCCTTACTTATCATTACAGCTGGAATTACGAAGTTATTCGATCTTCTGAAGATAATTTTATATATTTTTGAATTATCTGTAAGTTAAATTAAAAAAATTAATTTTTTTTTGCTGCCATCGATATTGTCATCTGGATTACGATAGTTTTGCAACTGCGGTTATCGGTATCAATAACAGTAATGTTCATTAAATTTTCGTTACAGAATAAAGTTGCCAGCCCTAATATTATATTTGTTTATCGATATTTTTGTAGTAAGTGCTATTTTTTTCCTCACGAAATTCCTCATTAGACAGAAGCAATTTATACCCACTCATTCCTCTCTTCACGTTCCACACTGCATATTTCTTCTGTTATTTTCAATATATTTTCCGTCTGTTTAGTTATTTTAAGTCTTGGTATTAACAATTAATCTGTTACATCCACCATGTGTACATCTTCGCTGCAATTCTGTTTTATTTTGAGAGAAGTCACCAGTTGCCGGCAACTTCCTACACAGTAGGGCTGCGCCGTGTATACACATCCTCACATACACGTACATAATTATATATACATATATATATAAATAGCTCCAAATAGCGCTAACCCAATTATTGCCTATACTTGTGTTACATTAATGTCTATATTGAGTAATTTGCAGCCATTATAGGCCTCTAATATAAAGCTCATAATTACATAAACTCGTAAAGAGTGAGTTTTTTTAATCGAAGTGAAGAAATTAGAAACTAATATATTTATTAAAATATTTTTGAAATTTCACAATTTTTCGAATGTTTATAAAAATTTAACAAAAAAAGTACCAGGATTTTTTCGATTATAAAATGTAAATTTGAATCCAGAGGTTGAACTTACACTTTGGCGAAGTGAACTACACTAAACGATCTAAAAGCCATATGATGCTTGGCATACTCTCAAGAGCAAATTTGAACTGGTCCATATAAACTGCGCGCGCAAATGGCATCGATAAATATTTTTCGTGTGAAGCTTGATCTACATATGTCACTTAGTGTGTCTGTGGCAGTTGTTTGTTTACGACACCAAAAGTTTGTCTGGCGATTTTTACTTCGGTAAAAATATTGAACAACTACAATAGTTTGCTTGAAATCATGGCTACGGAATCGTTGAAAATGTTACAAATGTGTTTTGGAGAGTCTATTTTATCACGGAGTGACAAAAAGCATTCAATGAAGATTGTGAAGTCATCGAAAACTTACTTCATGCGAGTCATTCATCCACCTCTGTTAATAACGATATCTAACAACGAAAAAGTTGAAGAAACCGTGTTTGAAAATCGTTGTATCGGATTAAGAGATATAGCAGAAAAACTCAACATCTATTATAGATTGACTTAATACATTTTCGTTAATGTTTTGGGTATAAAACGTGTCAATGCTAGACTGAATTTATCTGTGTAAAAATGACGTCGGGTAGAGATCGCAAAAGAGCTGTTTGACAACTTAGCTGAAAACACTACATTCATCAAACGCAAAACATTACTGGTGACGAGACGTGGGTTTATGAATATGACGTCGGAACTGTACAACAATCTAGCGAATGGCGCTCCGAAAATACGCCGAAAGCGAAAAAACTTCCTCGCTTAAACCACTGAAGGCCATCCCTACCGGCACTTATAACAAGTGTATGGAAAATTGGTTTAAGCGTTGACATTTCATTCTAGATGGCGTTTAAAGCATACATTTCTGTGGGCTCTTTCTTACACCGTCAATTCAAAAATTTTGTCATAGTCGTAGCTGCCCACCAATTCGTACATTGGCAAGTGAATTCTTAAAGCTGTGAATTTTCGCTGGGAAAGCGTTATAAGCGTCATGGTGCCATGTGGTGGTCGGTACACATATGTAAACACTAGTATGACTTGAGTTGATATTAGCAAAAAAAGACCGAGTCATTGTAAAAATAAAAATAAGCTTTTAAGCAATGCTCTCGTCAAAACAACGCAACTAAGAGACTCAACTGTTAGTAAATGCTCCGAAACTAATGATCTTTCACTTGTGATAAGAGCGCTCACCGACGGGTATAAAAGTGCTAGCGTCTACTCTTCAGTAAGAGTCTTGCGCGGACGGTCAGAATGTTCGGAGCGCTCTAACTATTGGCAGAAAGTTCTAAATATTGGTAGCACGCGCATTGGTAGTAAAACGTACGTTTTATTTTCGGCATCAAGGTGTTAATAAATATACTTGTTTAAATGAATTAAAGTGCAGTGAATTTTCGGTGGACGCTGTTTTATATGCACATTCTAAGACAAAGCATTATGTGCTGGGGAAAGAATGAAATTGTTTTGTTGTGTTTTTTTAATTTCGACAAAAAAAAAAAAAAATTATTTATTCAGTGATCGCAGCGTGCTCCAAATACATTTTGATTGAGTAAACATACTTAAAAGGTTCTGAAACAATAAAAACTAAGATAAATGACAAAGAAAACAAATAACTGGTATCTTAAAGAAATGCAATAGATTCAAAAGAAAGTGCGGACAACAAAAGTTATATAATATATTAAAAGCAATGTTTTTTATTTACAGTCAGCCACATATACATGTGCGCCAATCTGGTTTCATACTAACTAGCAAACGAGATTTTTTTAAAACGAAAAAGTGACTTGCAATTTTGCGAATTATAATAATTATCTTTGAGAGTTCTACAAGTTAGGCGTGAACTGAAAATACATAATTTTGACCAAAATATAGGAAAATAACTGCCGCACTAAAGAAGTTCTTAGTCAAAAAATATGTTTAATTTGAGATTAAAGTTAGCCAAAAGTAATTTTTTTTATAAGCAAATATTTTTTTTTGTTAAAAATTTTTATAAAAAAATTAAATGTTTTGAAAAATTTTATAAATAATAATAATAAACATTTATATAAACGTGTACCAAGTTTTATTAAAATATCTCAATTTTTACTCAAGCTATCGCTGGCACAGACGGACAGACAGATAGTCACTCGGAACTCAACACGTCTCGTCATTCTGATCTTTTAGATATATATATATATATAACTTGATTAGTTTTAGGTGATATAGGTATACCTTAGTTAGGTGAACAAAACTATTATACTCTGTAGCAACATGTTGCAAGAGTATAAAAATAAGCATCTTATCACATTTGACATAAATTTTCTTATATCTTCTTTACGCTCACATTGCAGTTAAGATTTAAGTGTTGTGAATTTAATAAAACATCAAGTATCAAGCAATCACTGCCAATTTGACAACCAGCGACGACATCCAACCACGCCGCCATGCAGTCGTTTAAGGCGGATGAGTTGCCGCAGAATCCACGCGAACGTGCCAATCCACTCTCAGTGCTCATGTTCTGGTAAGTGTTGAATTATAGTATGAACATTGCACATACATACATACATATTATACATACATGTATATATACAAAACGATAAATTGGAATTATTCAATTTTTGAATATGATATATAGTGTATGTAGTTACTTAGCTACGTGACTTCTCCTGCCTACTTCAGCTAAAAATTTATTTATACACAAATATGTACTATATGTTTGTTAATAATATCTCTCCGTGCCCATCTGTTCAATTATCAATGTGGACCTAGAGCGTTAATGTGTTCTTTTTTTCAAAATTGAATTTAATTATTTCTAAATTTCATATTAATCAATTGAATAAAGTTCATCGGTGATTGGTACGTCAATCACATTTCTTATGAGGAATCCGAATATAACACAAATCACAATTAGCTGGCATATACAAGTATATTATGAGAAACTCGAAAGCCAGTATAGGCTCTAAAACGATCTGTTTACACTTAAAGTATTCATGGAACTTAACAAATTTTTTATAGAATTTGTTTTTTTTTTTGCTATAAAGGATGATGACAAAGGATTAAAAATACATCGTAAGTACGAGTTGTATCGTTGAGAATTTTTTTTGATCACGTATTCATTCAAGAAGTGAATATTATCTTCGAAACAATATTTCAAGTCAACAATTTATGGTTGAAAGAAATATTAAATTTATTTAAGAAGTTCCATAAAATAAAAATCTATAATTTATTAATTAAGTATAATGGTAAATTTTCTGACAGGGAAACCGTTATCTATTGTAAAACATGCACACCTACTTTCGTAAACGTTTGCGAATATTTAGTAAAGCTTTTAAATTCACTGCTTATCAAAGGCATTATCTGGCGATAAAATCCACCCGTCTTATTCGACAACAACACTATAAAATGGTTAAGTGTACAGGTTTCAAAAACCAGAAGCTGATAAAACACTTGACATCTGATTTCTTTGTGAATTTCATATAAATTGCTAATCATCATTACATTTTTTTGACACAATTTAGTTAGAGAATTGTTGACGCATGTTTCAGCATACTTATACATATGAACACTTCTATCGCGATTACCGCGAAGATTGCAACCAACGTAATTTTAACAGTAAGTAATCGCTTAGAAGGTTTTGCTAAGACATCGCCCAAATGTGTACATGTAGGTATCTACATATGTACGAATTTTCCAACATTTAGCATAAACAATTTGACAACTGATGATTGTTGATTACAAGTAATTTGCACATATATGCTAATCTTTACCGTGTAGTGGGAATTCTTAAAAACTAAATCGGTATAATTAAAATAATATTATATAAAAATGTATATATATTTAGTGTGAGAACTTTTCCCTCAGTAACTTTTCTCTCAGGCGCTAGATCTATTTTAACAATTTTAACATACGACCACACGATTAGCGTCTAGTTGGTCTAGCTCTTTTCACTTAAAAAATCTCGAACATTTAGAAAATGAAGTTCACTGGATATTCTTGGTGGGGAAAACGGACCTATCTATTGTAGTTGTAAACTTGAATCCGTTTGGTGTCTAATTCGATAAATGCGGGCTAACTATTCCGCCATATGGGAATATAAAAGCTTTCGGTGACAAGAAATGAAGAAAAACGGACGATATTGTGAAAACAGATCCACCGGTAGTACAATAGATACAATCCAGTCACAATAAAGTCCATTGGCATGCAATAGATTATGGAAGAAGATGCAAATTTGCTTGCAAAAGTTTACCCAAAGAAGTATGCTACCGATGAGTTAGGCAGTCAAAAATTTTTAAAAACAATACTCTGTAAGATTTTGAATCCAGCGAAAAAATTATTTTATTTCTATTACGTCTAAATTAAGAATCAATTTATTGAACTGATATAACATTCCCGTATATAAGATATACTACATATATGGTAGTAGTACTGTACATTAAGATGCATATTAATCGGTCTCCTGTCTTGTGTTTACTCTTGTTAATACATAGAAATAAATGATTTTGTGCCGTTCAAGCTCGTTCTAAAAAGTGGGTCGGAAAATTTATTATTTTTTGGGGATGGGTGACTAATCCATCAACTTAGTTAGATTGCAGAAGAATTAAACGAAAAATGGTAACGAGTAAGTATATATGCTCAAACTGATATTGAGCCTTAATTGCAGTTATAATTAATTCATCTTATTATTATTGCTCTGTAGTACTTTACTATTACTCTTATTATTATAATTATTCAACTCAAGTTGTTTTATTATATAAAAATTTATATTAATAAATGTCCTATTTATTTCATTCTAGCTTTACGATGCCCGTATTTTTCAAGGGCCGCAAAAAGACACTGGATGAACGTGATCTCTTTAGGGCTTTAAACAGTCACAGATCAGGTAAATCATACATAACTATAAACGGTATATTTGTATGCATTTTTTGCTTTATTAAACTATCTCAAGTGCAATGAGAATTAATAAATTAAACAGTGCGACAAAATGTGGGATACTAATAAAGTCATAAAGTAGCCATAAAAGTCATAAATGTAAAAAAGAAAAAAAAATGAAAAACTGTTGAGCAAACTGCGTACCCCCTATCGTATTATTTAACTGATTTTCGTTTTATTGCATTTTTCGAGCACAAAGAAAGAATTACGTATGTTCGAACCATAACAAATAGCCAGTAGGAAAGAGAGTAATTCCTGTAATGAGTAACGCAAACGCCAAGTAATCCGGTGTATTTTTGTGCTGCTTGCATTATTTAGGTTATTATAATAATAAACGTATATTTTTTATAACACATGAACTCGAAATAAATTTGAAAGAATGTTAGTATCAGCGTGTATTGCAACTGTATTGTTGCCTTTGAAAGCGCTAAAAAGTGTTTTTGAAATGAAATTCTCAATTATTGGCCTGACCACTTTTTGGTTGGAAGATTAGTAGACGGCGCTGATATTTGCCTTATTTCCCTAATGGGCATGTATGTATTAATGTAATTGTATGACTTGTGTAGCATATGTAAATGAGGAACCCCACTCATGCAAATATGCCATTCGACATGTTTTGAATAAAAAAATATATTCATTTCTGTACATAAATAAATATGTATGTATGTAAATATATATGTAAGATTCCTGAGAAATAATGTCGGCAATGTAACTTATTACCGGCACATTGAGCAGTCAAAATATGATGTTATAAAAACACTTGAAATTTATCTTCAAGTAGGTACGATCGAAAATCAGCTGAGTAAATATAAAGAATGTAACTGATACCACAATGACAAATGCATTGGTGTTTCTATACACATCATATATAATATTTCCATATATACAAACATAAATGCAAATCCATGCAAATAAGCTCTGGTTTTGTTAACCGAAACGTCTTGCCTTTACTATTTAATGGTCTAAGTATTAATTGCTTCTTTATAATGGAATATTAGCTTTGAACTTTTATTTTTTTCTGAAGTGGTATTTAATTGCTTAAGCATACAGCGGCTATGGTCTCATAAAATTAATATGGTCTACAATTGAAATGTTAGGAAATGTACGCGGGTTGTTGGATAGTTACTCTTTGAATTAAATGTACACTTTTATTTAGCATAGCGTGTTTCCAATTTTTGCCGGTATCTAAAAATTTTACCAGTATTCGCGGTTTCTGTTAGAGCTGAAGACCATACTCAGATTAAATTTTTGGGATATAAAACAAGTCATTGACAAATTCGTACCAAAAGAGAGTTCGTCTTCTTCGACTAAACTTGCTCCTTAAGATTAGAAAATTTGTTGTTTGTTTCTAGTTTTCAACCTCTTTATTCAATTCATAGCAATAAACTTAATTTCAGTTTTCGAAATGTAATCATATTGGACTCATACCAACCCAGAATTACGTTGATGCAAGAAAATAATCTTTCAAAATATTTCATAAAATACTACACCTGTTTTCCGAAAAATTACCCAAAATTCACTGAGGCATGAGCGTCAATTGACAAGGTTGTTTTGCTATTCAACGATATTTTAAAAATTGATTTAAATTTTTAAATGATTTAAACATGATTTATTTATTTATTAGGAAAAAAAACATAACTGTGTACTTTATTCTCTTTGTTCAAGGGATTATATACAGTTAGAAGGCCGAAAAAAAAGTGAATTTTCCAGAAGTTTTTCTGAGAAAACTTTAAAATTTATTGATCCAAAATTTATTACACATATTATGGTGTCTTTTAATTATATTTTAAGACTTAGTACTAGTAAAAATATTATTCGGTTTTCCAAAAAGAAAAAGAAATTCGGTCTTAAATTGTTTATAAAAACTAAAATATTTATCGAAGAAAAAAAATCTTCGATTAATTGCTATAAAATATATTTAAGAAGCTCGTGTTAAAATTTGAGACTAATCGGTTTAGCCATTTTCGAGTAATGTTGGTCACTGACTTTGAAAACACCATACTGAAAAAAAAGCACTGGCTATCCGGCCTTGTACTTCCAAGCACTCTGAAACACCTTTTGAAATTTGCGTGTAACTTCGAAAATATTTACCGGAACGATATGAAATTTTCTGTGTGCATTCTTAAATATATGTACATTAAGAAAATAAAATTTAAAAAAATAGATTTTTTGAAAATTCTAACTGAATGAAACCCCTTAAGCGTTCGCAAGCAAAAAATGCGCTTTGATATTTTCACAAATTTTCTGTAAACTTTGATGTTCGCCCGGCAAGCGGCGAGAGTTTGTCAGCGCCGGCGCACAATGTTACCCAAAATCCCCTGTGCGGATAATTACAAATGTTAGTACGTACATACATATATGTATGTATGTACAATATGTTCGATTATAGGCGCATATTTATGTGCTGGTTATTTGCAACGAGCCATACATATTAATAAGTATGTTAATAGTAATCATCAACACTTACTGACTCACACGCATGTTCACAACAAATTAACACTTCAATCGTCAGTGGATGGGAGAAATTTCAATGTCGCTACGGCAAATGGGGACTCGCCAAATATTGTCGCTAAATGCAGGTTCTAAGCACGTTATATGTAGTTATGTATATACAAATATACTTATGTGCTTGTAAATTGGCGCGTATGTTCTCGCGGCGGAAATTTAGTAAGCAAATTATAATAAATACTTACGAGTACTTACTTATGGCAACATGTTCATCTGCATATGTATGTTGGGTATTGGTTTAGAACTTTCTTTGCATTCGAATTATCAATTAGGATTTGCCCAGTTTGAACACACACATATATATATATATATACAAACATATTTAATTTAACATTAAGCATGTTGGATAGATTCCATTTATGAATAGTTAAACATACTTAGGTGTACACTAATTGTCTGCAGCGTTAAAGGCAAGCTGTCAATTACACATATGGGTATAACTCTACGTATGGAATAAGCTTGCGTGAAATATGGTTTAATGAAAATTATTCTAAAAATATATATTATATATAAAAATATGTACATATGTATTTAGATCAGGATTTTAAGTCGATATTGGAAACTTTGGTTTAATTCTATATGTATGCGGAAAATGTTTTTACAATTTTTTGTTTTTTTGGTTTTTTTATAATTGTATACCAGTCTGAACTGAATGGAATCATTATTTGTACAGTTTTAAAAGCACAGAATTAGTTAAGGAAGTGTGGGTAGCAGACGCTGAAGCTGAGATGCAGTGAGCTTCTTTATAAATGGCTCAAATGGCTCTAGGTGGAGGGGCATATATTGTCCGGAAGTATTTATCAACTTCAGTTTTAGTTTACTTGTGTACTTCAGCGTTTTCCGAAGTGGTTGCCATTAAGGTAGATAGATCTACTGTTCCGTCGTGTAGCCACCTTCTGAGCAGTGCCTGTCTGCTTGGATAGCAGGGCGGCGGAACTCAAGGCGCTCAGTAAACGTGCGTTTAAGGCTGGTAGAAGAATACCTAACCTCGCTATCAAGTCACCTTGACCGTTTGTAGAAGCTGTTTGTAAGAAGACGAGTTAAAAACATCTCAACACTTCTTCTTAACTGAGGTATACTGCATTGACTGCAAAATTGCTGACCCACAATCAAATTATATCAAAACCAGCAATGTGAATATCTTCGAAGAAAGCAACACATTTAGATATATGTAAACGAAGGGATCGTCTCATTCTATACATGTGCGTCCGAAATGCGGTGAATATTAGGCAAAAGAGTATACTCTCTAGGGACTTCTTAACTTAATATAAAACTTCATTTCGGGTTAGGTTAGTCTAAAAGTTTTGCCCGATCCATTATGCCGAATATGTGAGAAAGACGGTGCTGAGTTTGCTTCGCTTATTTTTTATATTCTTTTATATATTTATAGCACAGTTCATGCTGTCAATATACAGAAATTCCGTTGAGATTTAAACTTATTAAGTTTTTTCCATCGATCGAGAATCAGCCACAGTTAACCTAACATCACTTATGTTTAGATCTTCACTCTCAATTCTTGTTCATTTGGCTTTTTAATACTGCTAATCCCGCTATTTGCTTTAACGAAGAACTGAATGACAACGTACTTTTTCGCATTTGACTGAGAGCTAAAACGCAAATCATTTATTTACATAAAAACCAAGTTCAAACACGTTGCTGAATTATACAATACATAATATATCCACTTAAGTGGGCTTTTATCAACCATCGCAGATAAGCAATAAAATACCTAAGTATGTATACAGCGCATTAATAGCATTTGCGGTTTATGTACATAGTTCTCGCCGAAAATGCACGTGTCACTTCAAAAATATTACCGTTTTGTAGACTTGTTGAAATAATATCACCTCGTTTGATTAGAAAATGATAACAGCTTAATCTTGAAAAAGTGCTACAGTTATAATAAGTGGAACTTTTATAACTGTTGGTATTCGCAGAAAAGCATTGAAAACAAAATTATTTTTCTAAACTGAAAACAATGCATCCAATTTCAATTTGCGTTGGAGCTAAAAGCGAATCAAAAAAATTAAATTATCTTTTGTGGCAATGTTGTTTGTTAATCAAAAAGTTGCCGACTTATCCAACAGCCCTGCTACCACTGACTGACTGTATATAAAATCCGCACCCGTAACTAAACATTCATTAATTCGAAAACGAAATTAATATATTCTATGGTGCATTGCACATACTATGGTAAAACAACAATAAATAATTAACGCAATGATCGCGTCTTAACTGTGTCGTATCTTATAAATATGAAATATAATCTGTGCAACGTATAAAACTGCATCAATCATTAAATACTCATATGTATGTATGTATGTCTGTATGCCTCTACTTGATTTCAGCTGTATTGGGAAACAAGATGAGCCTAGCTTGGGAGGCGGAGATCGATAAGAAACGACAAAAACACAAGGAACCCAAACTGTTGAAAGCGGTGCTGCGCGTGTTCGGTGCGCGCTACGCGGGGCTGGGCTTAACGTTATTCCTGCTGGAAATCGGGTTGCGGTGAGTTAACATTTCCTGTACAAGTCAGCTGATTATTAGTTACTATTGATAAATAAGCATAGACCTATATACATAGACAATACATCCGCCAATACAAGCTAAACTTGAACTAATTAACTATTTATATATGTAATTCTATATTTTTTCAGTGTTACACAGCCACTGTTTCTTGGTGGCCTTGTTAATTACTATGCCAATCCGGCTAACAACGAGAGCACCAATACAGCCTTTCTCTTCGCCCTAGGTGTGATACTCTGCAGTGCGCTGAATGTGCTGCTGATGCATCCGTACATGATGGCCGTGCTACATACGGGAATGAAGGTGCGCGTTGCCTTGTGCAGCGTGATTTATCGAAAGGCGCTACGCTTGAGCAAGACGGCGCTTGGCAGTACCACAACCGGCCAGGTAGTGAATCTGATATCAAACGATGTGGGCCGTCTGGATACGTCACTCATACACATGCATTATTTATGGCTGGGACCAGTGGAGATATTAGTAATAACATTGCTTATGTACCGAGAGGTGGGTATGATAGAGTAGCGGATTTATTAAGTTGCCGAATGTCGCTATCAAAAGTGAAAAGTGAATTGGCGGTGACGTGCCAATAACAGTGCATACTTGTATATCCTTGGAGCCAACACAATTTGTATGCATTCTTATTTTTATTAAATTTTAGATAGGCGTCTCCTCGCTATTTGGCGTTGCATTTATGTTGCTCTTCCTGCCACTGCAGGCGTATCTCGGCAAGAAGACGTCAGTGTTGCGTCTGCGCACAGCGCTGTGTACCGATGAGCGCGTACGCATGATGAACGAAATCATCTCGGGCATACAGGTGATTAAGATGTATGCGTGGGAGAAGCCCTTCGGTAAGATGGTAGAATATGCGCGTCGCAAAGAAATGAAATCCATACGTAACGTGAACTATATACGTGGCATTTTGCAATCGTTCATCATGTTCATGACACGTGTGTCCATCTTTGCCAGTTTGGTGGGTTATGTGCTGCTCGGTCAATTTTTGACAGCGGAGAAGGCATTCGTAATCACGGCCTACTATAATATATTACGTAACACAATGACCGTCTTCTTCCCCTTGGCCATATCGCAATTCGCCGAGACACTGGTTTCAATTAAACGTATAGAAAAGTATTTGTTGTATGATGAGACCAAAGTGAAGGATCGCTCCGATGATAACGAAAATGAGTACAAAACAATAAATCAAACATACATCATCGAAGAGAATGAAAAAACGCTGACACTAAATGGTGGTGTGAAGCCGTTACAAACGAATTCAGAGGAGAAGCAAGTAGTCCCAGGCATTGAGATACATAAATTAAAGGCGAAATGGGATCGCTCTATGTCGGAATATACACTGAACAATATCGAACTGAAGGTGAAACCACGTACGCTGGTGGCTGTTATTGGGCCAGTGGGGTCTGGCAAATCAAGGTGAGTGCGAATTACCATTTGATATACTGTTACTGTTTGCAGTTTGTTAGGCGCAACCATCGTTTGAAATTGAAAATTTTCATATCTATATTTACTCATTTACAGTTTAATACAAGCCATTCTTGGCGAACTACCCGCCGAATCAGGTTCCATCAGCGTACAAGGTACCTTTTCGTACGCCTCACAGGAACCTTGGTTATTCACCGGTACCGTCCGTCAGAATATACTTTTTGGTTTACCAATGGACAAGAACCGTTATCGCACGGTGGTGAAGAAGTGCGCGCTGGAACGCGATTTCGAGCTGCTAACTTTTGGCGACAAAACAATAGTGGGTGAACGCGGCATATCGCTTTCGGGCGGTCAAAAGGCGCGTATCAGCTTAGCGCGCGCAGTCTACCGTAAATCCGACATTTACTTGCTCGATGATCCACTAAGCGCTGTGGACACACACGTCGGTCGACATCTCTTCGATCAATGTTTGCGCGGTTTCCTGCGAGAAGACATAGTCATATTGGTTACACATCAGCTGCAATTCCTAGAACAGGCCGATATTATTGTTATTATGGATAAGGGTAAACTGAGTGCTGTGGGTACTTATGAGTCGATGCGTAGAAGTGGTCTGGATTTTGCTAAATTGTTGGTAGCTCCAGATCTAAGTGCTGATGCGGATGGCGCTAATGGGGCTGGTGGTGATGTTGAAAAGAAGAGTATGTCACGTCAGAATAGTAGACAACGCCAGAACAGTATTTCGTCTATGAGCTCCATAGCTGAGTCAGCTGCAGGCGAAGCGCCTACGCAGGTGCAGGAGAATCGTGAAGAGGGTAAAATCGGTTGGTCACTGTATGCTAAATACTTCACTGCGAGTGGCGGTTACTTAGTCTTCTCAATAGCTATGGTCTTCTGCCTTGTTGCGCAGGTTTTGGGATCTGGCGGTGATTACTACTTATCTTATTGGTGAGCTCAATTTGGAAAATGTATTGCATAAGAGAAACATTAATAGTGATTTCACATTGTTTGCAGGGTAAACAAAAATGAGGCTAGTGCAGAAACGAAATCCATAAATTTTGGCGCTCGCATAATCGGTCGCCTCTACGGTCGCGATGTACGCATAAATAATGAAACGGATCCCATTGACATTTACATATTCTCGGCCATTATTTTGGCTACGGTCATTTTCTCTTTAAGTCGCAGTATACTTTTTTTCACAGTCGCGAAACGCTCTTCGATTGCCTTGCACAATGCCATGTTCCGCGGTCTCACACGCGCCTCCATGTACTTCTTTCACACAAATCCATCAGGTCGTATATTGAATAGGTTCTCAAAGGATTTGGGTCAGGTAGATGAAATTCTGCCAACGGTGCTGATGGATGTTCTACAAATTGCTTTGGGCTGCGCGGGCATTGTGGTTGTAATATCGGTTGTGAATTTGTGGAATTTGCTAACCACAGCATTGCTGTCCATAATATTCTATTTCCTACGTTCATTTTATTTACAAACCTCAAGGGACGTGAAACGTCTTGAGGCTGTCAGTAAGTTGATTGAGAAATATCACGTATTTTAACTAATAATATAATTCTAATTTACTTATTCCTTTGCTTTAATGTAGCACGTTCACCAATTTACTCCCACTTGGGCGCCTCACTAAGTGGCCTATCTACAATACGCGCCTTCGGTGCTCAAAAAACACTGATAACCGAATTTGACAATTATCAGGATTTGCACAGTTCCGGTTATTACATGTCTTTGTCCACAAGTCGCGCTTTTGGCTACTGGCTCGACTGTTTCTGCGTCGTCTACATAGCTGTCACAGCCCTAAGTTTCTTTATATTCTCACCGAGAAACGGCGGAGAGGTGGGTTTGGCCATAACGCAGGCTATAGGCTTGACCGGCATGGTACAGTGGGGCATGCGTCAGTCAGCTGACTTGGAGAACAATATGACATGCGTTGAGCGGGTAGTTGAATACGATCAAATCGAACCAGAAGGCGAATTGGAGAGCAGACCTGGTAAGAAGCCACCGCAGAACTGGCCGGAACTGGGTAAAATTAAATTTGATAAACTTAGCTTGCGGTATTTTCCTGATCCAAAGTCGGAACGTGTGTTGAAATTCCTAAATTTCGAAATACAATCCTGCGAAAAGGTAGGCATTGTGGGACGCACGGGCGCAGGCAAATCATCGCTCATCAATGCGCTCTTCCGCTTGTCATACAATGATGGTGCGATAACAATCGACACCAGGGATACCAATGATTTGGGTTTGCATGACTTGCGTAGTAAAATATCCATAATACCACAAGAGCCGGTGCTCTTCTCGGGCACAATGCGTTACAATCTCGATCCATTTGACGAATACTCCGATGCCAAGTTGTGGGAGGCGCTTGATGAAGTATGACAAAACTTATTACGAATATACTTGAGTTTTTATACATCGGAATATATATTTATTTTTTTTAGGTTAAATTGAAAGGTGTTGTATCGGAATTGCCAAGTGGCTTGCAGAGTAAAATTTCAGAGGGCGGCAGTAATTTCAGTGTCGGTCAACGACAGTTGGTATGTCTGGCACGTGCCATATTGCGTGAAAATAAAATTCTTGTGCTGGACGAGGCAACGGCAAATGTGGATCCACAGACTGATGCACTCATACAATTGACAATAAGAAGTAAATTCAAACATTGCACGGTTCTCACAATTGCACATCGTTTGCACACTGTCATGGACTCGGATAAGGTGCTGGTCATGGATGCTGGGCGCGCAGTGGAGTTCGGTTCACCATTTGAATTGTTGACTGAAAGCAAAACAAAGGTATTCTACGGCATGGTCAAACAGGCGGGTAACAGCACTTTCGACAATCTGCTGACTGTGGCACAAAAGGTAAGCTTTAGATTTATACTTTATTTTGTGAGATAGAAATTGTTGAGTGATCCTTAAAGAGGAAGGATGTAGTTATAGTACTACGAGCGGATTTTGGAAAAAAAAATTTCACAATAACTAATTGAAATTTCAAAAAAAAATTTTAGGGACATATTCTTAAAGGGTTTGACTACAAATGAAAAAAAAAAAACGTTTTTTTTATTTCTAAACCAGAATACCCCTTATTATTGCTATATACGAAACGAAACAAAAATAAGCATTTGCGACTTTGATGAGTTCGGCGTTCGATGTTTTTTCAAAAAATATTTTTGTTTTAAATGCAAATTATGCTATTATGAGTAATAATTACAATAAATTATTAAATATACTTAAATTTATTTTACTGAAAGAAAATAAAAGCTCACAACTTAAGCCACAATTTCTATTATTTTACAGGCGCATGAGGAGAATTTGCGCGCGAAAAAGGATTCTTGACATTTCTCCGTACCGAAAGTATTCAAAGAATATTTACTTAAGATTTTAGAGCCGATATCAAATCATCCTGCAAATGCACGTATACAAAAAACTCTCACCGATGCGACGCATCACAAATTTCTCGGATAGCAGGAACCGAACAATGGGGGTGTAAATGGGAACGAAACACGTAGATTATCATATCGGGGCTTATTTTTATACAGTACTTAATACAATTAACTAATATACCTATGGTAAATAATTGTTTAGCTAAATAATTAAGAAGCATCTTAATATATGCATGTCTATAGTAGCTGTGTACATTGAACGAGGCAAAATGTGCATATATACATATCTAAACGAATGCTAATTTTATGTGCCATACAAGGCATTAAAATGAGAAAATTGACCTGAAATATGCAAATTCTACATATCCACAAACAAAAGTGAGAAATTACAAGCGTAAAATTATGGTAATTCTAATTGCTTTAGTAAAGATAATCAAGATTGAAAAGAAATTAAATCAAAAACACTATGCAAACTGAGACAATAAAGACGGAGACAACAAAAACCGAACTACACAAACACACGCTAAGGTTGGACGCGTGCAATAATGAGTTTAGAGCTCAGGTCGAACTGCTGTGAGACAGCGTTACTATTAGCATGTAAACAACCATATACATACATATGCAGCAGCTAACTTTGCGGCATAAATATGTATATAACAAGAGAATTTAATTGGCCAGTTTAACTTTATTTTTTAATTGAAGCAAATTGTTTAGCTTGGCTGACACAATAAAAATAATACACGTAAAAATTATCTGCCATATATGTATGTTTATAAACATGCACACATACATTTTGTATGCACTTTTCGTTAGCATAAAAAAGCTTAATTTTTCCCTTAATGAAGTAGTGTTTTTAAATATTTTTTTTTAGATTAGAATTGTAATGTTTACGCGCCTGCATAATTAGTTGAATAAGTTTTACGTAAACAAAAACATATAAACAAACAAATATCGTATGTGTTCCAATTGTGAAAACTCGTTGACAATATTAGGGCATAAACTTTGTGGTTTTAAATGTTTTTACCAGTAGTAGGCAGAAGCTTTATTTTACCAACACACCAGCAGTAGAACATTTTGTGTCATCTATAAATTTAAGAGTCGTGTGTATTATCTAAACATAAATACACACATACATACATAAAATTATATGTATATAGTACTTATAAAGAATTTTTATGAAATCATAGCAACAGAGAAGTTTTTTGTACGTAATATAACACATATATAGTACACAAATAACAAATACGTTGTTTCTATAATGTTGTATTGTAGATTTATTACTGTTACAGAAATGGTAATGTGTGCGCAGCCGCAAATCAATGAAAATTATGTAGTTTTCAGTATGCATTTAAAATTCATACATAGCTATAATAATCATTTACAACTATTAACGACATTGATTCTTCCAGTAAACACTGATTATATCAGTACTAGTTATAAACGTTAAATATACATAGATACATAACATATATAATATAATGCTATAATAAATATTTACAAAATGTAGAATGCATTTATATAATTTACTTAATTCAAATTGGATATGAAATTAGAGGCAGCAATTATGGCAATAATTAGACAATTATAATCTCAAAGAATTCGAAAAACAAAGATGTTGAGCCATAACTAAATTAATGCAATTTACGCTATGCACCCATACTATTGTGTGCGTTGCAAAATTTAGAGCGTTATATAAATAAATTAGTAGTTATAATAACAATAAAACGATTTTTTTTAAAGAATTGTTTCATAAATAAATATGTTATTCAAAAAATCTTAACAATATGCGCGCAATATACATATTTTTCTTTGTTTTTTTGATTTTCTTTAATCGCACAAATTTCTCACCGCCCACAACTGAATGGGTAGCAAGGAAAATATACATTTTTTGTTTGCATACTAGTGTATATGCAAGAAAAGACAATAAATTAATGGTGTCAATCAACAATAAATAGCCTTAAAACATTAGCGAAAGCCAAGCCATGATAAGGCAAAAGCCACCACATGTTGCCACCGGTATGTAAGTTCTATTGCCAGTCAGGGCGCGATGGTAGAGTACACCGCTAAACAGTATAGTGCCCACGGCCATCAAGGAGCCAGTCTGCAATGAATAACAATTATTACAAAACACATTAAAAAAGCTAAAATAAAAAACAAATACATTTAAAAGACAATATGAAAACACTAATGAAAGGACAATAAGACAAGTTCCTTGTTAAATGGAATTTACATGTGTACGTTGAGTAGTATGTAAATTATTTCTAATTATCGCAGAACTATGAAGAATATAAAAAAACGAGCTTTCTTGAATGTGTCGTTTGGCATTACTAAAATTGGAAATTGTTTTCTACCATAAAATGCTTATTTTGAGAAATGCATTTATTTGAATATAAATGTGGGCGTGAGCCCGAATAAAATTCTAAATATACAGAAAATCTAACTTGGACATTCAGAGTAAGAGTCTCCTAGCGAAGACTAATCCCAACAGGTGTCAACTACAAAATTTGCTCAAAAATATGGCACTACTTAGGCGAAAATTCATATAACTAATAAATAATATAATAAAATTTATATTTATTTATTAAGTAGTAGTAGTAAGTGTAAAAATCAGCTGATTGTTGGCAGATATAGCTTTGCACCTCCAAATACTTTAGTGGTTGTTAACAAACATACAAACATACATATTAACTTTTTAAAGTAATTTAATTAGGCTTAGCTACTAAAAGTTTGCTTTTTATTGTGCTTGTAGGTATGCATAGGCAAAACTGCTTGAAACAGGTTCTGTTGTAAATATTATAGAATATAAACAATAATTTTTTGTTACGAGAAATGGTTAAAATACAAAACTAATAGAAATACTTATTTGTAGCCATAAGAAAATTAAAAAAAAAACGAACTTTACCAGAATTAAGTCAATTACTAGATCATACTTTATGCTATAAACAAATCAATCTTTTGTATGACTTACTGTGTGTCATGAGATTATTATAAATAACAATTCACCAAAATATTAAGCTTTACTCTTTACTACTCAGCTGTTTTTTAATAGCAACCACATAAATCATTATAGAGAAGCGCTAGCTTTTAGTTTTTTTGAGTACATATATATATATATATATATATACTACTATGAATTGATCATTTAAAATGTTTTGAAAAATCGCAATAAAAAGCGGTAGAATTAACACTAGTAAATATATACATATACTTGTATATATGATGATATGTTTTAAAGATTTCAGACTTTGTGCTATGGCAATTCATATTAGCCTAAATCATGGCGTTGCAACATCATTTTCGTTACGTGGTTGTCTCGAAAAAATTCAACGTAAATCAAAAGAATATTTTATAAGAAACTAATCTATATGAAATTTATAAAAAAAAAATATAATTCCTTTTTCTAAGCAATAAGGATTAAATTTTAAAAGAAATAGACAAATACATTTTCAAAAATATTTTTCACCAGAAAATTAAAAATTGATGCCATCAATAACGACTTTTGGAAAGTATATTGATAAGCACTTTCCACATACTCTGGGTAACGTAAGTTGTTAAGAAAATCCGTTCAAGAAAAAAAAATTGTTAAGAGTATACTAAATCACAGAAAATTTAGCGCCTTTAAATATTCATAATTTTTTAACTAATAATTACGAGCATGGCACTATGTGCAATGTGAAATTCTTTAAGCACTCAAACAAAATGACAAAAATTGTCTCTTGCAACTGATGTGGTAGACTCACGGAAGTTTTATAGTTAAATTCTTTCTAAAATCGCTTAATATTCGAAAAGTGCATTCGTTTACAATTGTAATTTATTTGTCCACGCATATCTAATATTGTATTATATCAGGTGCAAGGGGTGAGATGTTAGTTTCCATAACAATATATAAAACCTGAACTCAAGCTTTAATACGAACTTATGGCGAAATGCTCAAATACTAGTATAAATGTGCTATAGAAATGTGTTATAGAAAATAATGCGTAGCATACCAATACATTGAATTTATGCGCAAATTATGAAACATTAAATATAATACTTAAACATAAGAAAATATAAATAAAAGTGTTTAATTTAAAAGCCTGTTCTTCCGCACTTTTTGAGTAAACGTGTTTGGAAAAAATTGAGTACTTTGCAATATATACATGTAAACTTTTGTAAATCTTAATCATATAGATAATTGCTGGAAATAAAGTGTTTTTAAGTGACAATAAAATATTTACATAAGTATATGCATTTTTTATTAAAAGTGATATGGGTATTTTCTTAAAATCGGACTAATTTTCAATTAACAACTTAATATAAGTTTAATAAAATTTTCTATCTAGTAAAGCAGATCCATCCTAATGCACACATATTGTAATAATAAAACTCAGACAACAAAATATTGCACAAGATGTCAATTTAAGAAACGTGATACTAGCAGTACGATGAACTTACCAATAACGGTTTGCGCACCAGCGGCATCGCTAAAAGTGCAAATGAATGAAGAAAATGAAAACGATTAGCTGTTTCAAAAACCGTCCTGGCCTCTGTTTTATCTTCAGTATTGGGGAATTTTGCAAAAATATGTTTGCCATATGCACCCATAATAACAGCACTTGCGCCACATAAACCTGCTAAACGTACGAAATTATATTGCCTGCCAGCCAACTCCCACAATGGTAAACGCACAGGTGGCGGTGGAGGTGCAGATAAATTTGCCTTCGGTGCCGGCAATTTGCGTGGTAAAAGCGCTTCCTAAGCATTAAATTGAACGCGTTTAATAAAAATAATTTAGAGAGTGAAAGGAAACAATGTCTTGCACAACTTACTGTGCTTTTAATTACACCCGCCGCAGTCGATAATAGCGCTTGGCTAATTGGATTGCCAAAAATTAGATAACCAACAGAATCTCCCAATGAAGACATTTTTTGTTACGACTTTGTATCTTTTGTTTACAATGTCGGCAAATATTGAAGTAAATAACTAATTGATAAGCCGCTGTTGTCGCGGTCTGTTATTGCGAAAATTCACTACACTTCTTTGTACGGTATGTGTGGGAACAAGACACAGGGTGCTTGTGAAGATTTGGTCTGAATGTAAAAAAAAAGTAGCATAATTCCTATATATAATTATCAACAAACTTTCTATATGAAATTTTATTAATCATCAATGGCTTTGTATGATATATTGTGTATACTTGAAAGTCGTAATTTCACTGAAATTACTCGCACTTTGCCGTTAGAGAGAAATGATGTAGCATTTTCATGAAACTAAATCCTGTAGGTTATAAAAAAAAAAACTATTTGGGACTCCTATCAACTTGAAGCAACTAAAACTAAGGCTAAATTGTGTACATATGTATATATGTGCAGTTTTTTTATTCAATTGTACTAAGGAGCGGGAAGCGGCACTTTATACACACATACACACTTTTTCAATTCCGGTTCGAATTCAATTTCAGTTTCATAATGTTCTGCAACAACATTTGATAATAAGTAAAATCAGCTGTTGTTTCGCTTCATTTTTCGTCTTGTGTTTTGTTTACGGTTAAGTTATTCGTTAATAATACGGAATATTTCACTATTTAGTGGTTACAAAATATACATATGTATATACATAGAAGTTAGTAGCACTTGTATTTTCAAATTAAAGCAAGTTTTTAATTGACATATATGTACATACGTATATTTGACTCATATTTTACCTAGACTAAATTGCATAAACTAAAGTGCTTCTTTGTCTTTACTTACATATGCATATGCAAATACTTATGTATGTACGAGCTTACGTATGTATGTAAAAGAGTTTCACAAAAAAATCAAATAGTTATAGATAAACAACAAATTCATGTACTATAATATGAAATTGGTAAGTATCACATGTTTCATTAAAGAATTTAGTGTACAGCTGATATGACTTGTGTTATCTTTTCATATACATGTGTATGTACATATATGCATGGGTATGCTTGTATCAAGTATCTATTAATTCACAATTAATGTACATAGGTTAATAATATATTTATTAATGGATATCGGGTATAAGTAATTGAGTATCGATCTGATGTTAAATAAATTGATTACGAGTTTAAACAAAATCGTTAATGAATAACCAATAAAAAAAACGTGCAAAGAATGGGCAAAGACTTAGCGTGTGTCAAAAGAGCACAAGTGATGATATATTTACGTATATATGTACGTACATATGTATGTACATGCATACATGAATAAACACACATGTTCATACATACGTCTTAATTGATGATCATTTTATGAATTACAAAATAAGCGAAACTTAAATTGTTTTTATCTTTGTAATTTTTTCATAGAAAACTTAAAAAAAAACAAAGATTATAAATTGTGAATTATTGAACTTAACTGTATAGATTGTTTAAATATTATACTTCGAATTAAAATTGAAAACAAAACTAAGAATACTGAACTTTTTTTTTGTTTTTGTATATGCAAACAAAAGCCGTAATTTGGTTTCATATATTTTGGTCCAAAATTTTTAACTTGTCTGGACTATGACATCGTACAAACGTTTCAATGTACATATCTACATACGTACATATGTATGCTTGTTAATATCTACATATATTTACAACAAAAGCAAAAACTACTATTCTCTTTATGAGTTAGCTGCAAGCTTGTTACTTTGAATACAAAAATACACCCATATCTATATACAATACACTATCTTGGGGACTCACCAGCCTTTTTCGCCAGATATACTCATTAAAATTGTTCCAGAGTTTATGATTTTTTGCTCTCAAATATACATAAATACCCGATACGTACACGCTGGACGCCGGGCACGAACAAACATTTACATAAAATATTTCTCAAATCAGTTTAGCCATGGCTGTAGCGGCGAACGTACTTGACTAGATTATTATAGTTCGCGTGTATTTTTGCTGATCGGTAGACTGTTTGAAGTACGCATAGCGCTATAATTTATAGTGACTTTTATAAAAGCTTAATATATATGAGCATTTGTTTACAATTCAAGTAATAAAAGTTATTCAATATGAACAGCTGAGCAGTAATATTTTTACATATACATATGTATGTACATACATACATATATAATATCTAAAATATTAAAAATATATATATATATGTACATATGTATTTTTTCTTTAAAAAATGGAAAAAAATATCTATATATATGTATCTTATTACATGGAGATACTTTTTGAAAGATGTGGTTTTACAGTTAAATAGTAAAAAATAGTTGCGATTGTGTGCCATCGAATGCGGTGACATTGTGAATTAAGTGTAGCGGTGGTTTGTGACGACTGAGTATCGGTTGTGAAATTCTGAATAAACGGCTATATCTGCGTCTATGTAGACAAATGTATATGTTTTTATAAATGTAAACGAATTTGATATGTCTTATTTGAATTATAAATAAGACGTTCATCAGTTGGTCAAATTTCCAATTTATGGTGCTTATGTTCCTATGACAATTATGAGTTCATATAACACCTGTTTTGAACTTAAAACAATTAATGGTGTTTGCGCCAAAACTCAATGTTATTACATACTCGCAAATCATTCAAACTTAATGATAGTTTTTACACGTAATTACAATTTCAAAGATTTCGGCAAATCAAATACGAGTTGAAATCTACTGCTATTGTTTATAAAGTTAAGTTCAATAATTCACAATTCATAACCTTTAAACTTTTTTAAGTTTTCTATAAAAAAAACTGACAAAGATAAAACAAATAAATAAAATTTCCATACAAGAACTTGACTTTATTCGATCACTTTGTATGTCAGCTGTGTGTTACAATGGTCAGATCTGAACAATTTGTAACAATTTCAGATCAAACAAGATTGTACCGTTACTTTAGACAATATTCTATGCCAAATCGCGTTATCTTGGTCGTTAATTAAATACCTGTATTTTGCCAAACACTTATACTCGTACATACAGTTACTGACAATAAAATAGAAAATAATTTGATTCACAACTATTTGCAAAAAAAAAAAGTGTTACCATAGTTCTTAGGAGGAAACAATTATTTTTTAATTAAAAAAATGTATATTAAACATTTCAATAACTAGAAATAACTTAAATTAATGTTTTATAAATTAATATAAATGTAGTATGTATTATCAGCAGACAACTGTTAATAAAACTTCAGTTGACAATAAAATAAAACTATGGAACCAAAATCGTAAATAGTGGACTACTATAACTAAAAAATTTATATAAGTTAGAATAACCTAAACCTTTATTTGCGAGTACGGCAGTGCACCTTTTCGGCATATATTCCACTAGAGCTTTACATACTGAATTTGGTATTGAATACCATGTCTTTTGAACTTTTGCCCATATTTCCTCCTTATTTCGTGGTTTAATGGCAAAGTTATAACATCGCTTCCTTGATCCTGTAGCCAAATTTTGACCACACCACAGGTATGCTTCAAACTTTTCCATCGCTACCTACTATATTTATTATACATTCATCGGATCAAGCAATCTTACATTTTTTCATCGATCCAATTGATATGCGCTGAAGCAAAATCAATCCGATTGTTTGGGACTTTCCGGGACAACCTTCCGAAAATATTCTTTTCTACAAAGCGACGCGTAACAGTTCTCGAACAAATTTTTACACCCAATTCTCTTTGGATAGCTGCAGAGGACTTATAAGGATTGCGTTTTGATAAAAACGATGTAATTGTCATCCTGAACCGTTGTTGTTTGTGGTCGCTTTTTTTTGGGGGGTTTCAAAGTTGTAAACACAAATTTTTAGCAATTGTTTTATAATTTTTGCATTTCTCTTTAGGTATAAGCGTTATTTTGCAAATTTGTTATGTGCTTATGCGCTGCCGCTGGGCAATTTTAATAAATATTCTAAAGATTATATACTTACATTATAATTGTTAAATAAATAACGCCAATAATTGATATTTTTATTCCTTCATTCTGTTTTTTTGTCACGACAACAAAAGTACACTTTTGTTTCATTTAAACACAAGGATAACAGTAAAATATAACAGAGTCGCCATCATGGTGTTTTAAAAGATAAATATTGTAGCAATCGATTACAGGCAAAACGTATCGGAAAGCTATCAGACAAATAACGAAGATTATTAATTATTTTGTAACCATATATTTGATTCTTTTTATTGTCAGTAACTGTACATATGTACATACAAATGTATTTTCGCATGTATCGTACATACAGATCGGCCATAAACTACATGGATTGTACCTTCGCATTTAACTTATCACCACCATACTCCATGACAGCTCCATGTGTGTATGTATGTACCTATGTATGCATGTGTGCATAAAAACATGCGTCAAATAGCGGGAAAAATAATTCGTACGCAAATACTATCAAATGCTAGTATTGTGTAACAATGAAGTTATCTTATTTTATGATATAAGCACACCTGCATTGCTATTTAAGCTGTCGCTGTTAATATTCTACCTTACTATCTACACATACACACAAACATATGTACATACATACAATATATAAATTGTATTTTATTACATTACAGCAAATACCGAGATTTGTGTTATGAATGTGCATAGTGGTAGGCGAAAAGTGTTCGTAGAAGAATTAGTCTCAGACATTGTAGGATGCAGTCCATAAAAGCCGATGAATTGCCAGAAAATCCACGCGTACGCGCTAATCCGTTATCGGCGCTTTTGCTATGGTAAGTGTGCGTTAAATGTTGAGTTGAGTAACAAACTGTTATTCACTCGCTTAAAGTGAATGAAGTGTATAAAGTATAGGGCTTTTAGGTAAAATACAGCTAATTATGTAGATATTTTGTAGAATAGTCTTTATCATTTGACAATTTCTCTCTCCCAAATATCTGTCTGTTCACCTTTCCAGCTGAAATTCAGATTATAGCTACAAGTTTGACCGATTTCATATTTAAAATACGGTACTATTCAAAAACGTAAAAAAAAACTAAAAACAATGCAGAAGTTCGGTATTGGTATTGGAAAAGGAAACCTGGTAGGTCGAATTAGATTGTAGGAGGATATATAGAACAAAGTGATGCAAGAATTTTTGTCAGCCAGCCATTGCGAATCATTGTTGCAAGTTTCGTTAAAAAAATATATAAAATTCGCCTAGAGATGCGCCCACCGCCCATGTAACGGCAATTATAAAAATGAAACTTTGGTAAATTGCACTAAAAACTACAGTTAGGAACTATGGTATACTTTTCAGGATCAAGTTCTTGCTGGTCGAGTACTTGTAATGATCAGGTATTACAACAACAATAATACAACGGTCAAATTACCATATTATATAAATAGCTTGTTCTTTTGGAATTTGTCTCAAGTAACAAAAATTTGATCCCAAATACATAATAAATATATATGTATGTAAATATGGCTATATAATGTACATACATACATACATCCATATACATTGACAATTACATATATACTTGTATGTATATCCACGTTCATATGCGTATCCACGTTCTAATGACTTCAATGAATGAATTAATTAAACGCTTATTAAATGGATTCCATTAAACCTACTGACTGTGGAAGTTCACTACGAGCAATATCAGCTGATAATTTTTCTTATCAGTGACTGTTGTTGACAGAGATCTTTGAAGATATATGACTACTGTAAACCAACGTTAGTTGTGGTAAAATTATAGATACATAAATACAATAAATGTCTTAAGCGGGTGATGTTGGACATTAGACATTTTTAATACCTATTTTGCAACGTTATATTTAGTTTTATATATATGTACTTATATTTGTCTTTGAAAATATTTTAGCTTAAGTATTATATTATTTTGCAAAAATATTGGATTGAATTGTTAAATAAAAAAGAACTGAACAGAAGCTTAATACCCTTCAGAACTTGACTTTGATCGGTCGGTTTGTATGACATCTAAATGCTATAGTAGTCTGATCTGAACAACTTGTTCGGAGATTGTACCGCTGGTTTTGAAAATAGTCCATGGGAAATTTCGTGAAGATATCTTGTCAAATAATTAAAATTACCATAGAGGGACTGGATTTGGATCGGTCAGTTTGTATGATCTCGGCTTTTTCGATGAAAGAGCAGCTTCTTGGTGAGAAAAAGACGTGAGCAAAACTTCAGATCGATATCTCAAAAACTGAAGGACTAGTACGCGTATATACAGACAGACAGACGGACATTTCAAAATCGGCATAGCTCGTTACGTTGTTCAATTATATAGTAAATACTTTATAAAGTCGCCTAGGTATTTTACTGAGTGTTACAAACTTCGTGAAAAACTTAATATAAAACCTTTTTAGAATATAAAAAATATCGTAAATTTCATTTTCTACAAGAACCAGTAGGAAACAATATGAGTAGTTCTAACAACATGGATTTTCAGATTATAAAATCTTTGTTTAAGATGCGTACATATTTTTAAGAGTATGGTGATCCGCTCATCAAGTTTATTTAAGAAAAACATCTTTGCTACTACTACTTTTTTTCTTAGAAAACTTTTAAATTTAATGATCCAAAAATGTATACACATATTATAGTACCTTTTAACTATATTTTAAACTTAATACTAGTAAAAATATTTAATAATAATAATAATATTTATTTGGAAAAGAGCTACAGCTGATCTCCGGGAGCTGATCTCAAAAAAGACGTTTTGCGGTGAACACTATATCTCTGAACTGGATTATCTGAAATTTAAAAAACCAAACAGATTAAGTTAAAGTAATCTAGTAATTAATCGAAAGAATAAGCAAAATAAAAAAAGCGATTTTTCACCGAAATTTCGGCCTCAAATTGTTTATGAGAACAAAATATTTATCGGAGAGAAAAAATCTTCGATTCATTACTAAAAAAGATATTTAAGAACCTCGTGTTAAAATTTGAGACTAATCGGTTTAGTCGTTTTCGAGTTATGTTGGTCACCGACTTTGAAAGCACCATTCTGAGAAAAACGAGATTAAAGTTTGGTCAGGTAGTCGCTGCCGCTCCGGCCTTGTACTTCCAAGCGCTCTGAAACGCCTTTTCATATTTGCGTGTAACTTCGAAAATATTCACCGGAACGATATGAAATTTTCTGTGTGTATTCTTAAATATATGTACATTAAAAAAATAATATTAAAAATATCGATTTTTTGAAAATTCTAACTGTATGTAATCCCTTATGTAAATTTGTTTTTATTAATTCGTTTCAGAACTTTAATGTATTCAAGGAGTTGTTTTCACTACATTGGAAATTTCATATATAATTTGCATTTTATATCATAATTTGGACAATAATAATTTTTTTTTATATTTTAGCTTCACTATACCAATATTTTTTAAAGGGCGTAAAAAAACTCTGGATGAAAAGGATCTATATAAGGCATTGAATGAACACAAATCAGGTGAGAGACCTATTAAATATACATAGAATAAATAATTTAAAAAAGTTTTGTATTAATTAAAAATTTTTGGGCTTGTGTCAGTTAAGCCGAAAATGAGTGGCGAGGTACTGGGTTTTGATTCACTTTAGTAAATATTATAGTATTAACTTTATAAAGTCTAAATCGTTAACATCGAACAAGAGGCGAAAAATGATTGAAATTCGAAATACCTTGATAACATTAGGGCCTAAATATCTCTTATATAATGACTCAACAAATTTTGGTTCATTTTTCGGGTATGAAGCGCGTGGTCGCCATACTCGTGTTTCGCGTACAAAGCGACTGAGACTATAAAGAGAGGTTAGCTGCATGAACTAAAGATCTTCTTAGTCTACCGATATTTACTCAAAAGTTGCAAAGTATGCTACTATGGTGATAATACAGACCATTAAAATATTGAAAGACTCCTTTTTTAAATGATTCGTGTCGAATTTAATAAAATGTTATAACTGAAATCGACGTTTGACATATAATTGAAAAACATTTTTTTAGAAACGCTTGGTGTTAAATTAAATGCAGCTTGGGAAGCGGAGGTTGAGAAGAAGCGCCTTAAAAACCAAGAACCCAACTTGCTTTTAGCTGTCATACGCGTATTTGGGTTTCAATTTTTAGCTTTAGGATTTTTACTATTTTCATTGGAAATCGGGCTGCGGTAAGACCTTTTACATCTCGACTGTGCTGAGGCTTTACCCACTTTTTTTTGTTGCTTACAGCGTCACACAACCACTATTTCTTGGAGGTCTAGTCAATTACTATGCGAATCCCTCTAACCAAGATGATAAATACACCGCATATATTTACGCCTTGGGTGTTATACTCTGCAATGCCATAAATGTACTCTTCAGGCATCCTTATATGCTGGGTATACAGCACATCGGCATGAAGGTGCGTATCGCAATGTGCAATCTGATTTATAGGAAAGCGCTGCGTTTGAACAGAACTGCGTTGGGTGGCACCACAACGGGCCAAGTAGTCAATCTGATATCTAATGATGTCGGTCGCTTGGACACATCCATCATGCACATACATGTGTTATGGGTGGGACCCATAGAGATCGCCGTTGTCGCCGTGCTCATGTATAGAGAGGTGAGTGTTTGTAAACACTTAAGTTTTTAATTCAACAAGCAAGTAATACATCTGCTTTCATTTAAGATCGGAATCGCCTCGCTGTTCGGAGTCGCAGTTATGTTATTATTCATACCGTTGCAAGCCTTTTTGGGCAAAATGACATCGAAGTTGCGTTTGCGCACAGCATTGCGCACCGACGAGCGTGTTCGCATGATGAACGAGATAGTCTCGGGCATACAGGTGATCAAGATGTATGCGTGGGAGAAACCTTTCGGCAAGATGATACAGTTTGTACGACGCAAAGAAATGATAGCCATACGCAACAACAACTATATACGCGGTATCTTGCAATCGTTCGCGATGTATATGACGCGCGTATCCGTTTTCGTCAGCCTAGTTGGCTACGTGCTCTTGGGAAACTTTCTCACCGCGGAAAAAGCCTTTGTCATTACTGCCTTTTACAGCATTTTGCGTAACACCATGGTTGTGGCCTTTCCAAATGGTATTCAACAAATCGCGGAAACGCTTGTGTCTATGAAGCGTATTAAAGAATACTTATTATACGAAGAAATCGGCGATAACTCGAGAATTTCGGCAAATGCCTGTAATAAAACTAAGAAAACAGACGACATGAATGGTAATCTAAATTTAACGAAGAAAATAACGCAGGAGCTAGCAGAAGAAGCAGGCATTGAAATATGTGAGCTCAAAGCGAAGTGGGATCCCACCGCAATAGAGTATACGCTAAATAATGTGAATTTGGATGTGAAACCGGCCACACTAGTGGCTGTCATTGGACCGGTGGGTTCCGGAAAGTCAAGGTACGAGTAATTTCCAATAGTGTTGGACTTAGCATACCAACGACAAACAAATTATCAAAGTAATTGCTATTATTCTAGGTATTGACTTGATTTTAATAATTTGTGCTTTTTCTAGTTTGATACAAGCCATTCTTGGCGAACTGCCTGTGGATTCGGGTTCCATTACTGTTCACGGATCCTACTCGTATGCATCGCAGGAGCCTTGGTTATTCACTGGCAGTATACGGCAAAATATACTTTTCGGCTTACCAATGGACAAACATCGTTATCGCACTGTGGTTAAAAAGTGCGCGCTGGAACGCGATTTCGAGCTGCTGCCGCATGGCGATAAAACGATAGTGGGTGAACGTGGCGCATCGCTTTCGGGCGGTCAAAAGGCGCGTATCAGCTTAGCGCGCGCAGTCTATCGCAAAGCCGATGTTTACCTGCTCGATGATCCACTAAGCGCTGTGGACACGCACGTCGGTCGCCACCTCTTTGATCAGTGTATGCGCGGCTATCTGCACAATGAAATCGTAGTTTTGGTTACCCATCAGCTGCAATTCTTAGAGCATGCTGACATCATTGTTATAATGGATAAGGGTAAGATCAGCGCTGTGGGCACCTATGAGTCGATGCGTAGTAGTGGTCTGGACTTTGCAAATTTGCTGACGCCACCAGAAGAGTGTCGTAAGGAGGATGGTGACACTGATGTGGAAGCGAAGAGTAAGTCAACACAAATCAATATGAATCGACAGAATAGCACTGCGACTATGAGTTCGATGGACGAGTCGATAGCTGACTCGTTAATTGATGAAGCAGCTGATTCGCCTTTGCAAGTGCAGGAGAAGCGTGAGTTGGGTAAAATTGGTTGGGGCCTCTATAAAAAGTATTTTGGTGCCAGTGGCGGCTATATGTTGTTCTCAATAACAGCGTTCTTTTGTGTAGCGTCCCAGATATTGGGGTCTACTGGCGACTTTTACGTCTCGATGTGGTAAGTTATCTGTAGGCTTCCATTCATTTAATTTGTGCTAAGTATATTGTTTTATTGCTTGATTATCCATAGGGTTAATAAAAACGAGCAACAACTAGTTAGTCAAGCACGTGAATTCGCTGTAAACGTTACTAATGATACGGACGCGCGCGACGCACGACTGAATAGTAATACTAACCCAATGGATATTTATATATTCTTCGGCATCATTTTGGCCATCATCATTTTTGCTGTCGGCCGCAGTTTGCTCTTCAATACAATGACGATGCTGTCCTCGACAGAGCTGCACAATGCAATGTACCGTGGCATCACACGCGCAGCAATGTACTTTTTTCATACAAATCCCTCTGGTCGCATACTAAATCGTTTCGCAAAGGATTTGGGTCAAGTGGATGAGTTGCTGCCATGGGTTATGATGGATGTCATACAGAATTTCCTGAGCTTATTTGGTATTGTCATTGTAATCACCATTGTGAATCCAATGAATCTCCTGGTGACGGCTGTGCTGGCGCTTATTTTCTATGCAATGCGTTCGTTTTACCTAAATACGTCGCGCGATGTAAAACGTCTTGAAGCAGTTAGTAAGCTGATCATATAGAATTAGTAAAAGTGCAATTACATTATTCTAAACTCGTTACTCTTTCCAGCACGTTCGCCCATCTATTCACACTTGAGCGCCTCACTTAACGGCCTACCGACGATACGTGCTTTCGCCGCTCAGCAGATGCTGATTAATGAGTTTGACAATTACCAGGATTTGCACAGCTCCGGCTATTATATGTTTTTGATAACAAATCGCGCTTTTGGTTACTGGCTCGACTGTTTTTGTGCGCTCTATATAGCTGTTACCACGTTGAGCTTTTTGGTTTCCTCACCTGACAATGGTGGCGATGTTGGCTTGGCTGTGACTCAGGCCATGGGCTTAACGGGCATGGTGCAGTGGGGTATGCGGCAGTCTGCTGAGCTCGAAAATAGCATGACGAGTGTAGAACGTTTAATAGAGTATGAAGAAATAGAACCCGAAGGAGAACTTGAAAGTAAACCCAGTAAAAAACCACCGAAAACATGGCCCGAACAGGGTAAAATCGTATTTGATGAGCTTAGCCTACGCTATTTTCCTGATATGAAAACAGATCGTGTGTTGAAATCGTTAAACTTTGAAATACAGCCCTCGGAAAAGGTGGGTATTGTGGGACGCACCGGCGCAGGCAAATCATCCCTTATCAATGCGCTCTTTCGCCTATCGTACAATGAGGGTTCGATTATTATTGACACAAGAAATATTGAGGGGTTGGGTTTGCATGATTTGCGCAGCAAAATCTCAATTATACCTCAAGAACCGGTGCTTTTTTCGGGTACAATGCGTTACAATTTGGATCCATTTGACGAATATTCAGATGCCAAATTATGGGAAGTGCTTGAGGAAGTAAGCAAAAATCAGATTATTTCCAATACTTAAATATAATATTTTTATTAATACATATGTACACATTTTTTTTTTGCACGGTTGCAGGTTGAACTGAAGGACGCTGTAGCCGAGTTGGCGAGCGGCTTACAGAGCAAAATATCCGAAGGCGGCAGTAATTTCAGTGTCGGTCAACGACAGTTGGTATGTCTGGCACGTGCTATATTGCGTGAAAATAAAATTCTTGTGCTGGACGAGGCAACGGCAAACGTGGATCCACAGACTGATGCACTCATACAATTGACAATAAGAAGTAAATTCAAATATTGCACGGTTCTCACAATTGCGCATCGTTTGCACACTGTCATGGACTCGGATAAGGTGCTGGTCATGGATGCTGGGCACGCAGTGGAATTCGATGCACCCTATAAATTGTTGACGGAAAGTGAATCTAAAATATTCTACGACATGGTCAAGCAAACCGGCAGTAGTACATACGATAATCTACTCATGGTAGCTCGAAAGGTAAATTACACAGTTGATTTTTTAACATTACAGTAATGATTAGTTATTATTTATGTACATATGTATATTATCTTTTTGTAGGCTTATGAACAGAATCCTCGCTTGAAAAATAAAACTGAATAGACGGTCACATCCAGCAGGACAGTATGTCCGCCCAAGAAATATTTCCATATTGAACTATTATACTATTTAAAGCAAACACTACTGACTAGAAGTAACAGCCATTTATTTGTCAACAGGAAAATGTGTTTTCGCAAATTATATGAAATTTGGTGTATTTGGATGGTAAACAAAAATAAAATTATTCAACTGACATTAGACAATACATAACGTAAGCGTTTTATGTTAGCGCTAAATGAATTTTACAGTAATCAGTAATGTTAAGAAGCATGTGTTTATACTTTAGTTAGGTCTATGAATATGCTATAGGAGAATTTTTATAAAATTGCAGTGTAGTAAATTAATGGAAGCTTAAAATAAGTACTTATACAATATATTTTTGAGAGAATAACAAATCTATGCACATACATACTTAGAGACATTTACTACATATAATATAAATATGTACCTATATACTTATGAGCATACATACGCATATGCTTAAATACTTAAGTTTCAGGATAAATAATATTACAAAATGTACTACGTTAGTTTTAGTCGATTAAAAAATTGAATAAAAGTAACCCTATGGTAAAATTAAGATATACATATGTTTTCAATTTCATTGACATATTCATTAACATTCTCTCACATAGTTGTTTGTTGGATCTTCTAATTTATTGGAAAAAATGGAAATAACATACAATAATCTTACTGAAAAATTCAATTCAAAGCAACGTGTCATAGTATGGTAAAATAAGTTATTTATATTCTAAACTACAATAAAAAAATTATAAATTGTAGGGAGACAAAAATTTCCGTTTAGAAGAATCTTCTAAAAAATTGCGGTTATTTGAATTCATGTGATACAGGGTGCACCAAAATAATAACTTTAGAAATAGAAATAATAATTAAATTATGTGCTATATTTCTCTACAATTATATAAGCTTCATGTAACCTTTTGTTTTCTTTCACCTGTGTTCCTTAGGCTTACTTAAATATTTACTTACTGGACATCGTATTATAAACAATATCAGCTGTGTGAACTATTTGTTCGGATATTTAAAGTAAATAAACCATGAATATTTCAACGAAAGATTGTATGAGATTTTTCAGCACACAAAATTATTTAGCTAAACAAATACCACGTAATCTAAAGGGAAAGAGTAAGAGTTCCCAAGAATGGCTGACACGACAACTAGCCGACCCTTATGTGGAGAAAGCTAAAATGATGAATCTTCGTTGCCGTAGTGCATTCAAGCTCATAGAAATTGATAATAGATTTAAAATACTTAAACCAGGCGATACTGTGCTTGATTGCGGAGCGGCACCCGGCAGTTGGACGCAAGTAGCGGTCGATCGTACGAACGCCAATGGCACCAAAGAGGCTAATAATAAAGGTGCAGTTTTTAGCATTGATTTGTTACATTTCCATGCCGTGCCGGTAAGTTTTTGGTTATAACACACAATGATATTAACCTATATATTGCGCATTTAAAGGGTGCTATTATTTTCGGAGGCATGGATTTCACAACAGCCATTGCACAACAGCGTCTTCGAGAGGTATTAGCCGGCCGGCAAGTGAATTGTGTGCTCTCAGATATGGCACCCAATGCAACGGGAGTACGAATGTTAGATCAAGAGAATATTATGAGCTTATGCTATTCGGTGCTGCGATTTGCATTGGCAATGTCTGCTATAAATGCACATTTAGTAGTCAAATTGTGGGCGAATGGTGATGTATCCAAACTGGAAAAAGACCTGAGACGATTTTACGAGCACGTTAAACGTGTAAAACCAGAATCAAGTCGATCAGATTCTGCCGAGCTATTTTTAGTGGCACGTCAATATAAGGGAATGAAAGCATCAAAGGAGTTGACAGCGAGCGAAAACAGTTGAATTTTGGTTATCCCTCCTTTATTAATATTTAATTTTTTTTGTTAACAATTTCAATTCTTTGGATGAATAAAATCCTACATTATTTATATAATAGTTTTAAGAAAAATATTTGTAAGTATATGCGAATTTTGTGCGTCGCATTTGGAAATTTATACGACTTTTTTGTAGTGCGTTAAATGATTAATCATCCATTCCAGCCACTTCGGTTGATCACCAGGCGCCATATGCCCGGCATTGCGCACCAATATTTCAATCAAATGACCGGCATGTTTGGCATATCCTGCAATTTCGTCCTCCACAAACCAAACTTTACGCTCGGCTATTTTGTATTTATCTGCATCTGCGAACTTTAGGTGCATCAGGTAATTACGAGTCAAAGGATACGCCACAATTATATCAAGCTGTCCACTATATATACAAACAATATAGTCCTTTAAAAGTTCTGCTATCCATGGTGCTACCGTGTCCATTACATCTTTTTTCAAGAACTTCTCTACTTTATTTTCTTTATCTAAATCATGGAATGTATTGTTGCCTACGTGAATGGCTCGACGTGTTGTTGACGACTGTATAAAATTTCCAAGCACATCATTCGGCAAGTCACTGTGAGTTTTTAAATAGTTGTAGTAATAGTTATAACCAGTAAGGTTATGAAAAATAGATCCATTGGTAAGGTCACCATTGATAAGACCATCAAATACCTCAAAGGCACAATCCATATCGTGATTTTCTATACATTTTTTACCTTTCTCTTCCTCTATATGGAAGCGATTCAAACCATGATCATCGATTAATCCTAATTGATATAAGTAATCACCATATTTGAGTTGATGCAATGGATCAGAGAGCCCATTACCAATAGCTAAGCCTTTTAACGGGATATAAACACGCGTGTCAACTGCATTTTGCATCAAGTGAATATGATAAGCCAATGCTGGTACATATTTCCCTGCGTAAGATTCTCCCGTTATCCAAAATCCACTCGAATTTCCCCATTCAAAAAGTTCGTATAATTGCATTACTGCCTCGTGTAGATTACGTCCGACATCTTTTTCATTGCGAGCGTAACCATCATCGCTGCCAGTAAAGCTAAAACCGGTCCCAACTGGATTATCAATATAAATAAGATTATGCGAGCGACTCCAAGTATAATTGCGTTTTTGTAGATGTCCGTGTGAGTCGAACTCAAAGGGTCCATTTTCCACAAATAAACCAAATAAAGAAGATGCACCCGGTCCTCCTTGCAACCACAAAACTACAGGAGCATAATCAGGACTTTCCTCTGCGGGGAAGTACCAGAAGAACATATTGGATTTGCGTGCCACATCCACTGTTAAATAGCCGGAATAGCTTTCCACTTTGTGGAATTGACTGCCAAGAACTGCCGCTTTTTGTCGAACTTGCTCCTTAGGTATTTTTGGGTCATGTATAAGTGGAGTTAGAAAAAGTGGTTCACCAGGATCGCCTCCATCACTATATTCCTGGAATCGTGGGTAAGGATTTATAAAACTTCTTGGAAACTTCAATTTCTTCGCATCGCCCTCCATAAACATTGGTAAAGCCAAGAGAGCGAATAAGGCAACATGAATTGCGTTTTTCATTGCTCATACACCTAAATAATAGAAATATGTTAAGTAGGGGAATCCAATATCGGCTCATGATGCTATATAAATTAAATGACATTGTGTGGACAAACAAATAATAAAATATTAGATAACACACCTTCTAATAGAAAAATAAAAATTTATTTTCACAACAAAGGGCTACGATGAGCTTGACAAATTTTAAAAAATAAACTCACACGAAGAGCAAAATAAAACCGGTCAAACGATGTTCAACACTGGTAACCAAATGGTCGCATTAATATTGTATCTGGACAATTATGTAGTTAGATATGTAGCAAAGTAATTTACCTTTGCAGCAGAGTAAATTATTATCAAATTTTTTAATTAAACCTTTTTTTATTTCTAAATATTGAATTTTGTTATGAAATTAATTGCTATGAAAATTTTTTTTAAACTCTTGTCAAATTGTTTAAATAAGTGAGTGTGAATTTCTAATTCATTTTTGCGACTCAGCAACCCGTTTCTTTTTCGATTTTTTCCGTATCGTTTCTTCTTATGTTCCTCCTTCAGTATATTTGACAATTTCAATTGGAATTCTACAGTGGCGAAGTTTTCTAGATTTTTCAATTTTTGAAGAAATATGTGCAGTGGTAAAAGAAATAAAAAGCTGATTGAAATACGGAAAATGTATTGTTAATTTCATGCACAAATTATTTTTTAAGAAAGTGATGAAAGTAATAAAGTGGCAAAGAGTGTGGAAAAGAGAGTAAATTTTGGAAAAGAAAATGAAGTGTCGGTGGTTGGTAATGTCGCGGTCGTGGTGGAACGTCGCAATTTGTTTCGGATTGTGTATTTTGATTGCATCAGCCGCGGTGTCGGCAAAAACACCAGTTAAAAGTAAAATAAAAGCAGTAACAAATGCACAAAATTTAACACAGGAAAATGAAAATCGTAATATTACTACAAAGGATAACGACGCCTCCGACCAATTACGCGCGTATCGGATGAGAGAAGTAGGTGTTGGTGTGGCGCCACTGATTAAAATTCATGTATTATTTTTCTAATTTCATCTAATAGGCGTGCACTGATTTGGCCAGAGATGAAGAAACATTAATGGTTTTCTCTACATTAGGGGGCGGATTAACAGCAATCGATCCAATAACAAGTGAAATTCGTTGGACCATAGCAGACGGTAATTACCAGTGGGTGGTGCTTCGTAACAATGGTTTTTTCGCGACAGATTAAGAATATTTTAATGTTGTTATTAGTTGGGTATAAAAAACTTTTCGTGTAGTTGGAAAAAAAAGAATTTGTTGATATATCAACGAGGGAAATGTTACTTTATATATTTTAAATAATTGTAAATTTTCGATCACTCGATGGTCAGCTGTTAGTTTCCCACAATTAAAAACATTTAGTCCCGGCACCGTCTTTAAATTATGCATAAGAACTTTCAAGGCACCTTTATATTTAACACTCGTATGTATAAGCAATCCATATTATTTGCTATTTTATATTCTTACTTTTTACAACCAGTACCTTGTAACTTGCAACACGCTCAACAATTTATTAACAATTTATCTTGCAACTGTTAAGCCCTAAAAGAGAAGCGCATAGAGTACAGAAATTATGAAACTAAAATATTTTGGTATAATTACGGTTTTATATAAAAATTTGTAGGTAATTTTAATACGTATTAAAATTATGAATTTGCTCTGTTCTGTGCATATTTTCGCTATGACAAAATATGTCATGTGTTTTTCAGCAGCTTAACCACAAACCCAGAAAACAGATTTTTGAATTATTATTTTTGTTACCGTAAGTTGATACGAAAGTGCTATGTATGCATATAATGGCCTCCATATGTTTACAAATATGCATCCATAAAAAAGGAAAATCATGTCATGCTTTTCCCCCTTTAAGTCGTTTGAAAATGTATACGTGTAAGAACAATGTGTAGAAGTTTATTTCAGTTCTTCGAATTATTGCCGATGTGGTACATTGTATCATAATACTGATAAGAGAAATTCACACCCCATACACTTCGACATAATTGTTTTAAAAGCGTTGTTAGGTAAAAACAAAATGAAACAAGTTAGTCATTTAAGTATAAGCACAAAACAAAAGGCAAAAAACAAACACCGCGGTTTGTGCCGGCATTGACAATTATCTTTAGAAATTAAAACTTCTTAGAACTGTGCTAGTATTTGTTGCTAAATACATTTTGAAAATTTACGGCACTTTGTTAGGATTATTTATGTGTTCAACTAAAGCGAAAAACTATTAAAAATATGTGTACACTAACACCTAAATAATATAGTAACAATTTACTATGTAGCTGCATGTACATATGTGCGGAGGTATATACATACATTATGCGTCGCGTTTAAATGTGTATCGCACGATTATAAACGACATTTCCACCGACCGTATCAAGCAGCGTGGCAAAAATCACACACATGTTAGCTCTGATTGAAAACTTATGGACTTGTTTTATGTATTCATACATATCTGCCCTATAATACATTTTACTGCAAAATTTTAAACTTTGCTTTCTTTATAGACATTACAATTTTCAGACACTCACATTTGGCTAATATCACGCCTAGTCATAGGCGTAGTTATATTAGTTCATTGGTTGTTGTTTTGGTTTTATTGTTATTGTAGACTATACGACGAAACAAAATGAATGGACGTTAGATATCTGCAATTAACCTTATTTTTGCAAAATCAATGGCAATGAACTTTAAACTTCAAACTTATCTGCGACACACATAGACACATATGTTTGAATAAGCATTTTTGTATGTATGTGCGTTTTTTTCGTTGTTTTGGCCAAAAATTGTCAACAATATATATGTACTTGTATACGGAAAGTATTTACATTTTAAAAACATAAAGTTTTCCTGCTTATAGGGAAGCTATATAAATACATACTTGGTAATTTGTAGATTTATTTTTGCAATTTATACTTCTTTCAAAGATCCACCGGTACGTGCCGACCAGGAACAAAATGTGGAGGTGCCGCAATATTTGCCAGATCCGCGTGATGGCAGCATTTATCAGCTTAGCGATATGGGTAACTTGAAGAAATTACCCTACACTATACCTCAGTTAGTGGCCAGCGCACCATGTCGTTCCTCCGATGGCATACTATATTCGGGAAAGAAAAGCGACACTTGGTTCATGGTCGATCCAAAGTCGGGTAAACGTAAAACGGTTATGGGCTTCGGCATGGATACCTCCGAAGCTACTGAACACAAAAAGGAAAGTGAGAATAAGGCCGCGCATAGTACATCGCGTTCGATTTACTTAGGACGCACGCAGTACACCGTCATGATGTACGATAGTTTGGCCAAGGGGAAAAATGTTAAACCGTGGAATATCACTTTCTATGATTACAGCGCGCACACAATGACGCCGGATATATCGAAGGAGTATGGTGAGTTGAGTGGAAAGAGCAAACGTATGTCTACATATACATTCTCACTTTTATACTTCATTAGAATATCTGCATTTAACCACAACATCGAATGGCAATATCGTAACTTTGGATAGAAAGAACGGTAAATTTTTGTGGAAGCGCGATTTAACAAGTCCAGTGGTGGCCGCATTTCTACTCGGCTCGGAAGGTTTATTAAGCGTGCCCTTTACCACAGTCTCCGATGAGGCTTTCGAATCCATTATAGAGGAGTCCAAAACCGGCAATGTCAACACAATAAAGTTATTGTAAGTTCAAGCAAATGCAATATTTATATTATATTAATAACAATGAATTGAATTACATTTATATATTTCTCTTCTCTTATATTTGCTTGTATTGCAGTCAATCGCTTTATGTGGGTGAGCACAGTCATGGCTTATATGCTTTACCCTCGCTGGTAGATAAGGACACACCACGCATTTCGGCTAGCCTACCAATAAAACTATTAGATGGCCCCAACTCCGCAGACGACTCAGATCCTAAAATGGTATACATCGATGATGTGATACGCCAAAATGCTGGCATTGTGCTCGGTCATTACAACATGCCCAGTGACAGTAATTTACAAATATCACCCTCGCCGTCGAAAGATGACAACAATCAGGGCTTAGCCACAATCAATCATTTTCCCGATGTCACTACTATCGGTTCTAATGGCTATAGCATAATCACAGGTTCGAATAGCGAAAAGAATTCAGCCGAAATTGGAGTACAAACTGAGCCTGTAATTGAAATGCAAATAGAGACGACAACTGCTTTTAATAAGACAAAAAAAATCATTTTGGCGAATAGCAATAAAATACAGAAATTCATCAATGAGTGGTTTATGGAACATCCGAGTGGAAAAGTGCATCAGATTCTCATTGTTTTGGTCTTGGCTATGGTCGCCATGTTCTGGTATATGTGCAGCACTATGCGTGAATTGAAGAATCAAAGTGAAAACGGCTCGAAAACGTACTCATCCTCGAACAAGAGTGGCAGCGGCAGCAGCAATGTGAATGCATTGGATCTCATCGATTTGGGCGAGGGCAATATACGTGTTGGCAAAATATCTTTCAACTCGAACGAAGTGCTTGGTAAAGGCTGTGAGGGTACATTTGTGTTTAGAGGCACTTTTGAGGAGCGCTCTGTCGCGGTAAAGCGACTGCTGCCCGAATGTTTCACATTTGCCGATCGTGAAGTGGCCTTGCTGCGCGAAAGCGATGCGCACGAGAATGTGGTGCGTTACTTTTGCACCGAACAAGATCGCCAATTTCGCTACATAGCGGTGGAGCTTTGCGCGGCCACTTTGCAGGATTATACAGAGGGCGAACGAAGCGCTGAATTGCGCAAGCAAATCAACGTGTGGGAGGTATTACGTCAAGCGGCAGCCGGCCTCAGTCACTTGCATTCATTGAATATTGGTGAGTGTTATAATTTTGCAACAAGCACAAGCTAACGGGGTTAACATATGTGATTTCATTGTTTGCAGTGCATCGTGATATTAAGCCACAAAACGTGTTGCTTTCACTGCCCGACGTTAGTGGCACCGTACGTGTAATGATATCCGATTTCGGTTTATGCAAGAAGTTGAATTTTGGCAAGACTAGTTTTTCACGTCGCTCCGGCGTGACTGGCACTGACGGTTGGATTGCGCCAGAAATGATGCGCGGTCAGCGAACGGTAAGTTGTAGAGCTACTACTATTATGGGGACGTTAGGCGTACATGAATTCGCGAAATTAACTGCACATATTTGCTTTCTACCGTGCAGACAACCGCTGTGGACATTTTTTCACTTGGCTGCGTCTACTATTATGTGCTTTCCACTGGCCAGCATGCGTTTGGTGATGCGCTCAAGCGACAGCATAACATACTAACACATGAATATAATTTGTTCAAACTCAAAGTGGACACCGATGATGAGGCGAACATGCCGGTGGAGGCCAGCAAGTTTGTAAGTTCAATGCATTTTGCATATGTCTAACTGTATGTCTTTATTAGGTGATTTTAATGACCATGTTTGCTGCTTGACTTTTATAGATACTTGCCGAACAGCTGATAGCAGATATGATACACAAAGATGCGCAAAGTCGCCCGTTCGCGCGCTGCATAAGTGCGCATCCAGTCTTTTGGAATAATCAGAAGATATTGGCTTTTCTGCAGGATGTCAGCGACCGCGTTGAAAAGCTGCAATTCCATGTGGAGCCATTGAAGTCGCTGGAAAAGAATGGTCGCTGCATTGTGCGCGAGGATTGGAATGCGCACGTCGATCCGCTCATAACAGAGGATTTGCGCAAATATCGCGGCTACATGGGTGCCAGCGTGCGTGATCTGTTGCGCGCGCTGCGCAACAAAGTGAGTTCAATAATATTTTCGTCCAATGCATTTGATTACAACTGCATTTGTATTTTTTGGTTTGCCAGAAACACCATTACCACGAATTGGCGCCGGAAGTGCAGCAGAAGCTCGGCTGCATACCAAACGATTTCACAAACTATTGGATTAATAAATTTCCTGAGTTGATATCACACGCCTATCATGCGTTTAGCATTTGCGCCGAGGAGCCCATCTTCAGGCATTACTATAATGCCGATTACTACTTCAGTCGTCCGTGGTATTTTGATGCGGATGAAAATCTCTTTTCATCGCTACAAAACGATCCGAAGCATTTGCTAAAACAAACTGGCGCTTGCAGCAAAGATGCAAGCGCCAGTCCGAAACGATTGCTGCGCACACCCGACAAGCAGCAGCAATTAAAACAGCGTAAAGGTAATTATAATTTTCGCAAACCCGCGGATGCCGAGGTAATTGGCGTGGGTTTGCAAAGAAATTTGGATATGTCGACACCCAATGCCGCAACGACGGCGGAGAGTGAGGAGGACGCAGGCAACGGTAATAGGCGTGATGTCTTTGCCAACTTCAAATTTCGTCGGAATTACAGCAAATCAACGAACCGTAATTATGGCAATATAAACTCGAACGCAAATGTCAACGCGAATAACGGTGTTAATAAAGATAAGAGCGTCACATGGACATTGCCTGGCAAACAGGCGACTGAGGAATGAATAAGAGCAGTAACATTAAACCGTAATATTTGATAACTACAAGTAATGCTATTTTTAAGTAAAACGTTAGCGTGTAAAATTTTAGTCTAAATTTATAAGTTATAAAAACATTTATATAGTTTTTACTACAAATAACGTAAAAATGTTGAGCAGTTGGAGAACATTGCTGCGTTCTTCTAGTGGAGTGCAATGACAAATCAGACTTTCTTCTACGAAACAACACGTCTCTTAGGTTGACATGTGTTAGGTTGGTGCGGAATTGCGTATTAAACATGTGCACATCTAATGTTGCAAAATTAAAAATATTAAAAATTGTAACAGTAAATTTGATCGGCTTTAATACATGTGTAATATTTATAAATAAGTTTGAGCAAAATAACTCTTGAATTGAGAAATCATACTACTACGTCTAAAGAGTCACATTTGAACATCTCTTCTTTTAGTTTTACACATTTGCGCATGCTTAGTGCAACTTCAAACAGTTTGCCTTGCCCAGTTTAATTAACATACTTTTATTTTGTTGCACTAGGTATGCTAGATAAAATTTATTTTGTGTGCGCATATAAAATGTTTGTATTCAACGAAATATTAATTGTATACAATTTATGTACTCCATTAGGAATGAATACTATCACTTTGTATAAAAATGTTTGTTAAGAAAGTGAACAAAAAAACTATATTGTGCAATAGAAAATGCAGCATGTACAGTCTACAGTTAAGCGAAAATGCTACAGTTTGTAAAATAATTATAAATATAAAAATTCATTTATAGCTTTAAATATAAAACAGAATGTTAAAAAAATGCGAAAGTCTGCTTATCTGTAAAAAAAAAATATTCCGCACTGGTACATTTTTTTCCAGCACAGCACATTCAGCGTTGCTTATCAATTGCGCAACTATTTGCAAATATATACTGCGCTAATATTTCTCTACAATCGACGGCATATGTTCAGCTCTACTGTAGACTGCAAAAATATTGTTGCTTTGTTATCAGTAAAGGTGTCTGTCAAATGCACGTAATTTGTCTGTGATAACATTTATTGTTAAATTTAAGAAATTTATAATAAATAGTTGCTTACTGTTTAGGCGTTTTCAATTGCAAGCGTTTAAAGCGAAAACAATATTAATGTGTTTAAATTTTTTATTTAACATATATACATATACATATAAAATATGTAGCATAAAGGCGGCATATATGTGAGCAACTATGTACTCATATTTCTAAAATTCCATTTTTTATTTTTTATATTTATATTTGATAAAAAAAAATTCGAATAATTAAGTCGCACCAACATACTTTATTGATAAATTGTTTTATTTTAGCGCTTGCAATTACACTAAGAAACACATAAATAAAAATAAATAAATAAACAATGTAAATGGCCCGCTATTTGTCTATGCATGCACTTGTAAATGCACTTTTATGTGACATGATATTTCATTATTATTTTATAATTAGTCTAAGTTTATGAAAAAAAATTCCCTGACAATTTTAACCAAATATCTAACTGTAACCACTACTTTGTTTTTCCAAATAAATATTAAAGTTTAGTTGAAAGAAAACAATTATAGCTTTTTATTAGCACGTTTTATTTGTTTATGATCTTGTTTTTTTTTGTTTTTTTGAAACAATTAAACTTTGCTTAAACGCTCATTTAGCACATACATATATTTAAGTATTTATGTGTGTAGTTTGTATAAGTATTAAGCTGTGGAGTGCCTGCACTGCGTTCACCATTCAACAAATAACATTTGCAAAAAGAAAAAATTAATAAAATTAGTCAACAAAAATACAATTTGAAACAATTAAACAAACTCATAAACATAACATGACGATATTATAAATAAGTTTATACATACATATATATATATAATATTATAAGTTATACATAAAATAATTTACTAAACGCGAAAATAATTATTTTGCTTATGCAAAAGTACAACTTGTTTGAAAATTACTTAAATTTTGACTTAAAAAAACAAATACATACATATGCACATATACATAAGTACATAAATGCAGTCATTTACAAATACATAAATAATACACAATTTGCTAGCTACCTTTGGCTAGCCTGCAGCACGCGGCTTTTTAAGCAGTTTTTATATTTTTTGTGGCGTATATGCAGTTGTTTGAATTTAATTTGCTTTTGTAATTAATTATTAATTAGAATGTTATGCCATTCGTTTGTAACATATTTAGTATTTTTTTGTTTGTTCGTATTTTCACGACTTTTATACAAAAAAAAAAAACGAAAAACTTTTTTTCGTAGTTCAGCGTTTTACTCAAAAAAAAAAGCATATCGAAAAAGCTGTTGCTTTCGTTTTACTTAGATTCGGCGTGCTTCATTTCGTGCTTCACACAGTGCCGGAAAGCGTCCCAGCCCTCCGATTTGGCGTTGGACTGCAAAGAAAAGATTTTCTATTATTTTATTTTATTGAATGAAAAACAGCACAAGTTAAATAAAGAAAAAGGCTTCGACCGCTTTTAAGTCACACATCGCATACATATATTAAGTGGTTACATGGGTTTCATGGCTACAAAAAACAAAAAAAAAAATTTATTTTCTTATTTAATTCTATAATATCTCTAGAATATTGTTCTAAATTCTCATGTTGATACCGGTAATAGTTTTGGAGCTACAGCTTTGAAAAGTTGCGCGCTCGAGGTCAGCTTTATAGTCACCTAATACGCGTTTTTTTCGAAACTATTTAAAGGAACAAAAAACGTCGAGAAATTTTCACCAAAATTTGCATTTTTTTGGAAAAACCTCTGTCAAAAATACAATTTTCACTTTATTTGTTTTTCCTCCGTCCAATACCTAGTTAATGGTCTTAGTTCAAACACGTTTTTTTTGCTTTTTACTTTCGATAATCTTGACAGAAGTTTTGCTGTCAACACGGAAGCACCTTTTTTCCGAGGTACTGGCGCAAATGACGTCGTAATGACCGAGTTCGAATATTTTCCTTTGAAAATTTCGCAAAATCTTTATCAAATATGTATCTTCGAAATAATAAGTTTAAATAAAATCTTTCATTTCGAAATAAAAATATTGAAAATAGGGCGTTTTTTTGCTCGACGAAACCCATGTAACCCCATAAATGTTGTTGATTTACGATGTTCCCATACATATGTAGGTGCCATATATAACATTTGACATTGTTTAGTAATTTGTGGTTATTTTCAAAAAGGAAGTACTGATAAAGCTCATCGAAAAATTTATATTTTTTGAGTTTTCAGTTAGAAGTATCCATACAAAAATTTCATATTCAATTCTCCTGAATTCATAAGCGCTAAATTCGCTTTAATAATAAATTTGTGTTCTTTTACAAATTAGTTTTCGAAAAGATATTTTTCGGGAAAAAATTTCGTCAAATAAAAGTTTTCAATATGATATGGTTGTTTCTGGGGTGAAAAAGACGTGTGTAAAATTTCAGATCGATATCTCAAGAACTGAGTTTGCGTATATACAGATAGACGGACATGGGCTTGTTCCCACGAAAGTCGGGTCTATGTAGCCGGAACAGATAAGGATTTTTATCCGGCTAAGTACTGTAACTTCTGCCGTTACAACAACAACAACAACAACCACGGATATGGGTCTCCGACATTTCGCTTAGTGTGCAAAATAACATTGTTAAGGGTTGCCTTTAAGGGTCTCCGACATTTACTTCTGAGTTGTCGCAAACTTAATATAGCCTCTTAAGGTAATATAAAACACCTCAAAGAGATAAAACTTTACCCAATTTTTTTTTTCGTTATTTCGGACGATATTTTCACGGCATCTAGAAAAGTTTTTTTTTTGCTCACTCTAAAGTATATGTAGTGCATACATACGTACAACTATAAAGATTTTTAAAACTCATGCATTATTGTTGGCAATGTGGCAGTGATTGAAAAAATAAATTAAATATAGTAGAAGTATAACATTTGCAAACAATAAAACAAAAAAAATCAGATTTTAAAATGATTAGTTTTTTATTTATAAATATGTATATGAATATTAATAAGAATGTAAATGATAAAGACTAAAAAGTGAGTAAATTATTATAGGCAATGTTCTAATGTTCATTAAACAAATCAGCAAGGAATTTCGAGTTTTTAATTTTTTTTACGAAACATATAATGGAATGACAGTATTTATCAAATGGTTTTTAACTAATTACACAAATATAAGCGCATATAACAATTGTATATTTATAAATATGACACGCAATGCGTAATGAGATTTTGTAGAATAAAAATTATTTTTACTTAGAATGAAAAAATTTACTATTTTCATTTTTGTTGCGGATGTTGGGGCACTTTAAAATGTAAACCAATATAAAGCAAGATATATAAGCTCATGCTGATTTCACACATTTCAGTTTAAAAAAAGAAGATTATTAAATGAAATTGTAAATATTAGAAATGTGTACAAACAAAAATTCAGAACAAAAAACAGTTATGGATACACAATGAAACAACATGCACTTTTAGTATCAAAAAGGTGTTAAGAAATGTTTTGAACAAACAACGCTATGGCGCACATGGCGCTCAAGAAATGAGAACTCAAATGCAGCACTAAGCGGTATACAATTGAATTGATTTCAAAAGTTTTCAATAAAATTTTGATAATTAAAATGTAAGTTAGTCAGTTTTAGGAGAATAACTCGGCGTCTTTGAAATATTCTAAGCGGCGACAGACGCGTTGACGCCAAGCTTCGATAAATTCATCATTTGCCAGATCGTACTCATGTACTTTCCAATGACTTACTTTGAAGCCACGATGCACACGATCCTTCATGATCGCTATGAACTCTCTGTAGGACAGCATGCCGTCACCATTGTCGTCGAAAATAGCAAAGACTGTGTCAATTAAATGTTTGCTAAGGCTGAAGCCAGTGCAAATTTTTACAGCACGCGAGAATTCACCTGCAAACAGAAAAGTTGTGAAAATAATTTTATGAAATCAATAATCTCAAATATGTGTACTTTGTGAGATGGCACGATCGGCCAGCGTATACATACGCATAGCGATAGCAAAGTCCTCCAAATTGTTTAGGAAACGACAGAAATCACGAAACTCATCGAATGTTATGCCACGTTCTTCTTTGATGCGATCCATTAGACGCTCCAAATATGCATCATATTCCTCCGTATTCAAATAGGTATAACGCAGTAAAATTTTGGCAAAATCATTTTCGGTGATCGCCACATTGCCTTTGGAAAACTCATTGAACTCCAATTCGAGCACCTCTGTTTGCAGATTGTCCATAAATTTGTAGAAGCCATCGTAGTTGAGATCCTGATTGCCCTTCTTGCCAAACAAATGGATCTGCAGTGTGGTGTCGATGCGATGTTTGCGCTGCAGACCCTCATCGTCATCGATATAATCGTCCTGTGGTAATGTTTGTTGTGCCATTAGTGCGCTCAAAACAGTTTCATGGTAAATTTAGTTGTGTTAAGTTTTGAAAAAGTATTTTCAAGCAGTTAGTAAGTTTAAATGAATAAAATTATTTAATAAATAATTTTAATAGCATGCGTGGCCCACAAATATGTAGAGCAAGCAATGCGGCTTTTGGTAGCAAAATTTCTAAGTTAGTTTTTTGAAAAATTTAGGTGACAACATATTAAAAAAAAAAATATGTATATAGTACTCAAATTATATAATATAAATCGACATACATACAGATACACACAATATTTAAAATATATTATTAAATTTGGTCTGTAAGTCAAATGACTTCAACTTTTGGTTATGTCGACATGATAAACACATTTCACACTTTGAAAATTTTCAATAAATTAAATACAGTTTTCAACTTAATTCAAAATAATTTATATACAGCAAACAATTTTATGCCACACCAATTTATTTACTTCACACACAAATACGTTACCTGCGCACGTCTCATAGGTTCGTCTTTCGTTTGCTTTTTATCCTTATCGTCCTTGGGCTGCTGTTTACCCTTCCAGACGCCACTAAAAATACGTTCCATCTATTGCAAGCGTGTTAGTTTTGACACAAAAACAATCAAATATCATGCGATTAATAAAATGGCACAAAAAATATGAATGCGACAGCATAAATGAAATAACAATACAACAAAAATGTTAACTACAAACAAAAAAATATAGATAAAAGTAAAAAACGTATAAAGCGTGAAAATTAAAAACAAAAATAAGTTTGAGCACTGCTGCAACTCTTTCGTAGTGTTTGCCGAGATGGACTCTCATTCAAAACTTTCTTAGTATAATATTTACTCATATTAACAGTGTTTACAGGTGAAGCAGTTTACTTATTGAAATTGCTAGCGCTAAGCGGTACTAATACAGAAGCCAAGAATAGCGATTATTTTGCATATGTGTGTGTAAGTATACTGTAACTCAACTAGACATTTTTCAAATAAAATTCAACTGAATAAAATCATGGAGAGAAAGATAAGTTAAAACATAACAGCAAAAAAAAAATAGTTTAATAAACTTTCCTAAATATTTGACTTACATCTTCTCCCTCTTTGGTACTCCCTTTAGCTTTCTTTATAGCTTTGATAAATATTGCGTCCGCAGTTTCTTGAGTCCAAATTAAACTTAACAACTAAACCAATAAATTTATGAATAAGATAAAAACAAAATTAATTTAATATTTATGTGGCTTTGACAGCGAATTAAAAAGCAATTGCAATTAACCTATCATTTCGAAGTTCATTATGCTTCCACCGCAGGCTAACGTAAAATTAAGAAATTACTAATTACAATCTTTTTATTACAAAATTTTACGCTTACTACGTATAATATTGGTTGTATTTATAGATTTTTAAATGTTTTTTTAGGAACAAATGCTTACAAGTTTACGCGTTTCTTCGTCGACTTTAGACTGCTTGAAAGTACCACCCAAAATTCTCAAAATCTGCACAAAATAAAAGAAAAGGTATACTAAAAATATATATAGAGCAAAAGCAAAAAAAAAAATAAATAAAAAATAAAATTAGGTTATGGAAGCTAAACAACAAATTATATTTATAATTAAACTTAATCATATTAAATTATTGTAAAAAAAAAACAGTAATATTAACATACATTTTTTTAGTAAATTTGATGTGTTTAAATAAGAGAATGCAATTTTTAGGCAGTATATATGTATTTAAAAATTTTGAATATTATTTAGAAAAAAAATTGTCATACGCAGTCAATAAAATCGTATTATAGTCCTCTACATTTAAACACGCAAAAATTTATTTTGTTTCAACAATTTATTTTCCAAAACATAAAACATTTTCATAAAATATGTTTCTTGTACGATCAAATTAGACAGAAAAAAAGCGTGAAGTTACATATATTTACAAGCAGCTGAAAGTTAGTGAATATGTTTAAAACATAACATAAAATAAGATTCAAAAAGTCTTCATTGTTCTGCTGGGTGGCAAAGAAAATACTCGAGGTCAAAGTTCAACATTTTTTTTTGCGTGATTTTTAACGAAACGGGAAGTTGCAGCACGAAATCAAGAATGAAGAATTTTTTTTTAGTTTTGGAGTTTTTGTCTGTAGCAGATCGATAACATTTTTTAGTATTTTATTTTTAATAATTTTTTCAACATATTCACTAACTTTCAGCTTGTTGCACATGTATTTCTATATACGAAAATGCACTCTATTATTTAAACGCTTTCACTGCCAGATCATTTACGAAAAATTTCTGGAAACAATTAACTTACCACTAGAAATTCATCCTTTTCAACGCGATGATTGCCATCAGTGTCGAACATATTGAATGCAATGCGAAAACCGGAAATGGGTTCTTTAATAAACATTTGTTTAATGTACATATTTATTTGCTAGTAGATAAACACATTTTATAACTCACTAGTCAAAACGGATAATAGGAAGAGATACTCTGTGTACGAAACAATGCCTGAAATTTAAGTGAAACAATTTAGTACTAAAAAATATTTTTATTATTATTATTTGTTTTATTAATTAAGAAAAATGTATATTTTTTAACAATATTACCTCTGTCTCTTAGCGTGCGAAATAACAGTTTTGTGCCTTTTTTTAAAGGCGGTGTGTTGTCTTTTATGGTCTGCAAGTCTTGGTCAGTCAGCATACGACGTTTCAGGCGTGCTGCAATCGATACACAATTTCAATTATAATAATTTAATTTATTTTGTCATCATTTTGCGCTTACGTCTAGGCTCCTGCTCGACCACAGAATCCAGGAAATCCTGTGGTGTCATATACAATTGTCCACGATATTCCACCGATGCAAACTTGATGAAGCGACGCTCACGTGATGTCAATTTCTTAAGCAAATTTTCATCTTCGCTCTATATATATATAAAGAAAAGAAAAATACAAAAGTAAAAATAAATATTTATAGGGAGTGTAAACGTAAATACCTTACATGCAATGTGCCCTTTACACACAACCAGAATTCGCTTGTGCTGATTAATGTACTGGCGAAATTGGTAATTCTATACTTTTCAAACACATATATTTACAAGAAAGTATTAAAGCAGTTTGCTAACCGTTTTTATAAATATACTAAAGAACGGTGTTGAATTGATGAATGTGCAAGGAACTGTGTGATAAATTTTAAATATATATATACATTGGTAATTAATCGCTGAATTCTAAAGAAGGTGTATGAAGATGTTGTAATTCTTAAATGAAATATATGCGAGATTTATATCTCAGTTGATGATTACGCAACCAAGTGCGTCTGCATTGCTAAGAAAAAAGGGTTTATTTCAATTGAAAAAGTATTGAAATAAAATTATGTTTACTTTTTTTTGAGTCACTGGTTTGTATTGTAGATCGTAGTTTTCGTATTTTGACAATTTTAGGCAAAAACTATCTTCGGTTTAGGAATAGATCTCAAAATTGTAGGCTTTAAAACAACGTTTGTGTTAATTTGTATATGTGTGCGTATTAATAAACAAGTAAATACATTTTATTTATATTCAAAATATAAATTATTTTCCTCTCTCACAGCCACGTTGTTGGACGGCCTCAAGTTTTATTATAAATATTAATAATTTATTGGTAAATAGGTTTATTTACTGTCTTAATATTATATTCGAACAAGAAAAAATGTTAACTTCGGTTGTACCGAAGCTAGAGTACCCTTCACAAGTAAAGAAGTTTCCATACAAGAACTTGATTTAGTTCGTTCAGTTTGTATGACAGCGATAGTGATCTAGAAAATTTCTTTACATATTTTAGCCTTGCCTTGCACAATAATTCATGTAAAATTTCGTGACGATATCTCGTCAAATAAAAAAGCTTTCCATATAAGGTGTGGAGTTTGATCGGTCAGTTTGTATGACAGCTCCATATAAGATATAGTTGTCCGATATCGGCGATTCCGAAAAATGAGCAGCTTCTTGGGAAGTAAAGGACGTCTTCAGATTTCAGAGCGATATCTCAACAACTGAGTGACTAGTTTGAATCTGTTTTATTATTGTCAACTCCTTTTAGAAATCGAAGTTCAATAATTTTCCCACATTTCAGTATTATTAACACATTACATTAATATTGCCTCATTCAATCTTTATTGGCATCATTAAAGTTATTATCATTGTTATTGACTGCTATAAAGCAGCAGTCAATATCAATTTCATAAACTTAACAACAGCAATAAATAAATCTGGCGTTAACAACCTGAAAAACTTGGGTATGCATTTCACGCTACCAATGATTTTGAAGGCAATAGCACACCTTAATCAAATAAATTTAATAAACGTAGATATGTACATATATATTATATATTTTGTATGTATTGAAAATATGTAAATACCAACAATATAAGAAAAATTTCTTCTATCTCTGTAGCACTCTTGAAAATAATATCATATGGTCTAATTACAAACTAATAGAGCTTAATTAGAAGCCAACTCGCATTCACGTGCACTCTTGCCAGTCACGCATGCGCACCACAGCCCCACATCTATTTAAAAATTAACGTAGCACACTCGTTCAGCAATGACTATACTCGTATACTCTGCCATGGATGCCTCGTAGGAGTTTAAAGTGTGTTTGCTCATATTTTAATTTTTTTTTTACATCACTAATTATTATTTTCTTTGTTAGATAGATCGATATGTTTAAAATTCATTCATTCATTTCTCCTTCAATCGCAATTGTACTCATACCGGGACCCACCTACCACAGACCTTTGGCGATAATTCTTTATAATTGTGTGACATCATCCTCTACGCCAGACGGCTCAACAGCCATGTAGGAATACATGAATGCATTAATATATGTATGCTACGCATTCATATTCATACACACATATTTAATAAAAAGTAATTTATGCCACTATTATTGTGGCACTATATTGGATTATGGTTGTTTTGTAGGTGGCAATCGACGGTGGCAGGCGCGACAATCAATTCAAGAAACACGTATTCATCATCGTCGTTGGCAACAGCTGAGAGACGCCTTCTACCTTTAGCCACCATGGGATTTTTTTCTTGAAGCGTTTTAAAGCATTGTGCAAAGGACAGCCGAACAATTTAGACTCCGCCTTTTGTCTCCAATTGTAAATCATTCAAAATTTAATACCATTCAAAATTTGAGTAGCATGTCTGATAATGAATAGATAAACACTTGCATGCGTACATCCATGTCTACCTACAAATGTGTGTAAGTGAATTTGTTTACAGATTTGTTGTGGCATTTGTGATATTGTTGAACTGTCAGTTGTAGTCCAAAATAAAAATGTATGCCCCGAGGGATAAGTTCTATTGTCGACACTGTGTGGGTGGCTAAGTGTTATTATTATTCTATTTTATTTGTTTGATTATGTAGTTCTGTTTTGACTGCTCTTTGCGGGAGTGCTATTGTTTGTATGTATCTTCGCCGGCAGCTTTGACATTGGGATGCCATGGATTAAGCGCCGTCATAATTTACACTCAGGGTGGCTCGCAAACAAATTCAATATGCTTTCAATTGTTGCAGGTCGGAACAAATTGGTATGGGTTTGGTGAGTATAATACGATTTTGAAAAACAATTTGTAAACTTGACATTGTCGGTTGAGTTCTAATATGATGTCATGGTTAAACGGATATAAATTTATTAGTAATAATTATGTTAGAAAAATAATTAATTTGTCTAAATAACTTTTTCGGATGAAATTATTACACAAAATGAATATGTTAAACGAATACGAATTACAAAAGACTATGTTTACAAAAATTAAATATAAACTAAAATGTGACAAAAATGTTACGATTGGTTTTTAATTTATTTATTAAGTCAGACGGTACCGTTAGAACTAAATTTTTTGCATTTTCTTAACGAAAAATACTTTAAAAATATTTTCTGAAAATTTGAAGTAAGTCCGACAAATACTTTTCGAGTTATTCGATAATTAGACAAGGGCTCTCATGCGTTCTGGAACATAATTTATTACTTTACGTAAATTGAGTGTAAAACTTCAAATGGGTTTTTCTCAAAACTGACCACAGCAGCTCGAAAACCACACGGTATATTTTAATGAAATTTATACAGCTTTTTGAAAACATAAAAAACTGGCAACAACAACAGCGTCTGATCGCAGAATTTTGTTTAATTTCGATTTTTTATAAACAATGCTTTTTTCCCAAAAGTCTGAAAAACAATTTCCTAAGGCCGACACTTTGTTAATTAAAAAAAACTTGATTCGGGTACTAGATTACCTATTAATAAAACTAATTCTTTTATCCGATTGATTGCAGATGAATATCCAGGGATTAGTGATAGGCACCACAATGAGCCTCGGTTCGAACTGGATCAACACAAACAGCCATTACGTTTAAAATTATTTTTATTTTTTTTCAAGTTTCTGTCCACACAACTGCGGCAATTTACAGGCAAAAAAATGTCAAAAAAAAAATCGTTTTAAGTAGCAATTTCATGTCTTTGACTACACCTGACTATGTATGAAACATGAATATGACTCATAAATGGAATACCCAAAATACCTGATATAGTAAAGGTAGTTAAAAAACAAAAGTTACCAAATGAGTTCATTGAAAAAAGTGCAATAACCCCAACTTGTTGCTTATGTTTGTGTTTTTTATTGGCGTTTAACGAATAGACCAAAACAAAAACCAGCTGACTTGATTAAAGAAGAAGCATACAAGTTATGAATGTCAAAAAGCGAATTTGCAACTAAAAATAGATGTGATAAATCACACAATTGCATCCGTTCGACCAAAACCGACTGCTATGAATCAATCGAATTTTCAAACATTTTATTCTATCACAATTAACAAAACTTACCGCTTTAAATAATATATAGGAAATATATTTGTATGAAAATTCGTATTCCTACGTTCTTCCCACAATAATTTACCTTTCGCATGCGAAAAGCAGCATCCAAACGTTCGGATTTGAGATAATTTGTACATATCAATGCAGTTAGACCACCACCCACAAACACTAAATATTTTGTATAATTCTTTGGCACACTTTTGGCACTATGAAATTTGTGAAGATTTCTTTGTAATGGCCGTAAATTTGGTGCCAAATTTAGCACTCGATTCGCAATTTTACCAAATGCAGCCATACTCCGAAAAACGATAACAGCACAAATAAGAAAATCTATGAAGGTAAAATTGAAAATAATTGACAACTAGGGGGCATTGCCAGCATAGACCATTAGCTGCTGGTAGGGTTGTATAGTGTTCGGTAGACTGTTTATTTGGAATTGGAACGACTTCAAATTGGAAACGAAATTTATATATTTATTTCGATTCTATATAAATATTTTAATATTTAGATTAAAAATAATTTAAAAGCAATAATATTAAAAAAAAAACCTTAAAAGGAAATAAAAATAATAAATAATATAATATAATGTAATATAATAATACAATATATAAGCGAAATAATAATAGGTAATTATAAATATGTAAGTATAAGTAAAACATCCACTAAGTAATCACCGACTTATGTACATACATATGTATGTATGTATATAAATATTTTTGTAAATTCATGCTTGTAATCCTCATCAGCGACACCAAATAAAAGTGAACGTTTGTTCTTAGATAAAATAGAATTTATGCGCTGGGTAACAAACGAGTCTAAATTATTCGACCTCTGTTAGCGTGCCATGTAAAACTAATGCAATGGCAGTATTTACGCACGTCTATGTACATGCACATGCAGTAGAATGGGATGAAGATGGCTCCAGGTTGAAATGCATAAATATTGCGAAAATTGTGTTACTGTCGAGTGATCGTGTGCAGCTTAAAAGTCAATGCAAAAAGGGCTACGTACACACATACATATGTAAATGCAAGCAAACATAGTTCGTTAGAAACAGGTCAGAGAGGGCCATAGAAAGCCGAACAGGGCAATTGGAGTGAAGGTGTGCGAATGTCTACATACATCTGTGTGTGTATGGATTTGCGAGTTTTTTTGTAGGACACTTCTGGTGGTCAAAATCATTGGCAAAGTTGTTGATGCGCGTTTATCGAATAACAAGCTAAAGTCACAAGGGCAACGAGAACATTTTTATAACCAATGTGTTATAATTCAAATCTATGTACATATGTATGTATCTGCATATGTGCTTGAATTTGGCGTTGAAGAACAAACATTCAACCCAACCAACTCGCATTTAATATAGTGTTCGTTTGTTTAACGAAATATACCTACATACATACATACATATATTATATTGCATATTTGTATAAATATATATATATACATATCTGCATATTTCTTAAATATTATATGTTCATGTGTCAATGAAACTTTTTTGTTTTTGGTGCAAAGTTTGAAATAGCGTTGCGGCAATTATATTCCTTTTAATTGGGGTGTAATAATAATAATTCTACATATATGTATATTAATTTTAATTGTTAAAGTGAAGAAAGTGGCGCCAAGTTTCTGCATGTGACAAAAAATAAATAAATATATTATTGAATTGCTTAGCAACACGATTTTAAATGTGTATGTCTGTTTCAATGCACACTAAACTAAAAGAACTACAAAAAAAAAGAATTATTAAAAATGAATAACAATTCATGTTTAAAAATAAATATTACATAAAAAACAATACTTGGTTTTTAATAGTACATATATATTTTGATTATTGATTAAATTATTTTGTAAATGTTATTGCATTATACAATACACAAATACAATTTTACTATAAGAAATTGAGTTTTTATGAGTTTCTGGCATCTTTCTAGGTAAACATACATAGAACTGTCAATGTGTATAAATAAAACAAGAAATTTGCATATACAAACATATGTATTTATGTACCTTAAGTTATGTACCTAATGTGGTGTAGTACGAATATATTCACATTGAATAGATTAGTCTCGGGAGGTCGCACTAATATATTGGAAGAACGTTATATGTTTCGGTGCCCAATTTCGTGAAGGTACATTGTCAAATAAAAAAGCTTTACGTACAGAGGCTTCAGTTTTATCGATAACTGAGCAGCTTCTTGAGGAAGCAAGGCAAAATTTAAAAACGATAAGTCAAAAACTTAAGGACTGGTTTACATATGTACAGAGAGACATGGCTAAATCGACGCAGCACATCACACTGTTCAGGGTATAAAAAAAATTCAAAAGGTTCTTTACAGATCTAAAAGAGGTCGAAAAGTTTAGCCTTTTATAGTTACTATAATTGTTGTTGTAACAGCACTTAGGTTTGTCAAACTAAAGCATTCATGTCCCTAGCACGCGAAATGTAAAAGAAATATGTCGACACCCATTCTAGCCGAGTGCATGGAGTGCTATACTGCTACGAGGTTCGAGGGGTCAAATCAAAGATAGGAAGGTATTATGGGACTCTTCTCGGCATGCAATGTTGAGAGTAGATTCAAAGCTTATACCACACTCGACTAAAGGGTCCTGACGTACAAAACGTATGATCGAACTTCCTCTTTTATTTAGAGTCTTTTCACAAAAAGTTACGCTAATGTATGTGTATACATATGTGCTAAGTATATTCTCTTTCTTGAACTCATTAAGAGGTTTCTTATCAGAAGTTTTCATAAGTGAAGTTCTTTTATGCAAATCGGAGAATTGATTTTTTTCTTGAATTTATCTAGTTAGATATCACAGAACCGTCTCACTGCTCAATAAATCCGGCGAAGGAATGTATGGTATAACTATTTTTCCAACGAGCTTCATACTACATATATTGATGTTTGGTTTTTGGTTATTTTAAAAAGTAAAAGAGGCGTCATTCGATGGCCTGAGAAGAAGAAAGATACTTACACAAATAATACTAAAACACCATAAACATAAATACAAAGGAATAAATTCAATATTTAGACATGCTAACGACTACCAATAAACCGCCCACGCAGGATACACTACTACCCTTTTGATAACCTGCTGACCCTGAGATATCCATACGTTGGTTGAAACATTGTTTTTTATAGCTACGTTGACATTCTAAACGCCCATCGCAATAATAACAATAATAATAAAAAGAAATTATTATGTCGCGCCACGGATTTCCATGTAAGTCGCATAAATCACATCGTTAGAATGGCTGGTGGTGCTGTTTGGCGGGAAATTATACGCTACTCAAATTTCTAATTTCAATAATTAATAAGAAAATGTAATAAAAACGTCTTGGCAGAGGTGAGTAATAGAAATGTTGACCGCGACACTGAGCCAGAGGGGGGCAGCAGAAGCGCTTGAGTAGTGTCGCCCAGACATTGAGTCCATATTGATTTCACTATGCCGCGAGGTGTGCTGTATAGCAGCAGGCGTGTGCTGGACCAACTTTCGGGCTGGGAATTAAATATATTTGTGTATTTTTGTAGCATAATTTAATAAATTTTAATAATCACTTTGAAATATATAAATGGTTAAATGCGTATGCAACTGAGCAAGGCTTACAGCAAACAAATTTGATTGTGCCAAGTCTAGTGCACATTTGGCCACTGGCGTTAGACCGCAGTAACGCCGCATGCACAAGCGAGCTATAAGGCCAAGCGCTTGTCTCTTATCAACGCGCCCGCCTCGTGCAGGCCGACTGCGCATGTGTGAAAATGCAAAGCAAAACGCCCACAGCGCTTCTCGCTGCGTCTGCATAGACAGACGGCAAGACATTCGTGATCGTTATCACAGCGACTAAGCCCATGATTGTGGCCAAAGCTGTGAATGCGGCTGCGACTGCCGTTGCTGCTGTGCAATCAAAATCAGCTGAACGTGGCGCAAAGTAGTTAGAATGCTATATTGACACTTCATAACTTCACAACGAAATTATTATTATGTGTCTGAGTATTTCCCGGCAAGAGATTAAGATCGGCTCATAATCTTGAACACACCACAATTTCTTTTGAGGTTTATTCGGTTTATTCTTTTGGTTTTCACGTTGTGTCCGAAAAGTATTTGCCGCCTGCTGCGCGTGCGCGCATACCCCGCTCCGAGTGTCCCAGCAAATCGCTTGTTGAACTGGTTGTTGTTGGTTTTCCGTTTTCACTGGTATCACATGTTTATATTGCTATTTTCTGATTTTCAATGAGCTCGTAAAAGTAATTTAATTACCCATGCGCCAACATCCTTTCCCAGGCGCTTCGTGTGTGTGCTTGATTTTTGTTGAGTTCGATTTTTTAATTGTTGCCTTCGAAGAGTGAAAAAGTCGATTTTCGAAAACAATAGCCACAACAATAACTGTAATAAATAGCTATAAGCCTTTTAATTTAACAAATATTGGGAATGCCAAAACAAAGCGAAGGCTCTTCCATACACATGTTAACCCTACATATTGGCCAACACACAGCCGCGTCACAGCGGTAGAAGCTGTGCCACGCAGCGCGCTCGTGCAATTTGCTTGGTCATAAAAACGACCTTTCGTTGGGTAATAAAATGCTTGTTCACGCCTTTCAAAATTGCATGGTTTCACATTTGTTTCGGCTCACATTCAATTGCTTTCGGGAAGAAAGACGACAATGCCACAACTGTAGCAGCTGCCATTCCCTTACACATTGCCAAATCGAACGCAAATATCCTGCGGCAAAGTGCAAAGTGAATGCTTGAAAATTCAACAATGAGCGCAAGTAATTTAATATTTATGTGTATTGGAGCGACTTTGGCATGTTGTTATTAAGGATTTTATGTCAGTTTCAATTTGTTGGCGATAAAGATGTTTCAATTAGCTGGAAGTAGCGCAAAAAAAAATGAAAAGAATCGTCGGTATTTGGGCGGAATTACATAAGTGCAAACAGCAGTAGTTCCTTGATTGTTTGTATTATAAAACATATATGATAATACATATTTATAAGGCATTTATATGAAGGAAAGTTGGTTAGCGCGACGCAGGCCTGAAAGTTTGGAATTCGAGTTAGTGCAGATTTCAGCGCGCTAAGAGAAATTTATTTCGATTATGTTTCTTCTTGTTCTTCTCACTGATTTTATAACTGCTTAGGGGGGTATACTGGTCTAGGGGCCCGTATTAGGAGCGGTTTTTGGCAATTAAAAAAAAAAGCATTTAATATTTTTTTATACTTTTTTTATTTATGCGTATTGGAAGAGTAGACAAAATTAAATTCAAAACCTTGTGATCAGCTAAAAAATAAAACAAAAATGGACTCTTGTTTAGTACGAATGTTGATATCTCAAG